ACTGCATCTTCTTCCATTTGGTAGTTTGTTTAGCTTGTAAATTGCTGCATTATTAGTGCTATGTTTGATTAGTCTATTTTCTGAAAATGCCGATCATATGCTTCCCAGAAAAACTTATTGGGGGTGGGAGGGGAAGTGGTGAAATATTAGAATCTCTAATACAAATAGTTGAAAAGCAATTTGGATTCTGAAACATCAGGTTTATGGAACCTTTGACCTCAGAAGTTCCTATGATGGTTATTGAAGGGAATCATGAGATTGAACCTCAAGCTGGTGGGATCACATTTAAATCATACTTGACACGATTTGCAGTTCCTGCTGAAGAAAGTGGCTCTAAGAGTAACTTCTACTACTCCTTTGATGCTGGGGGCATACACTTTATCATGTTAGGAGCATATGTTGATTACAATAGTACTGGTAAATGATAACTAATGCAGATTATTTTACCTTGTGTAAATTAACCAGTGTCAGATGCACATAGTTTTAGATGGTTGAACTTGACTTGATGTATTGAAATCCAGGTGCACAGTTTGCTTGGCTGAAGCGAGACTTGCAAAGTATAGACCGTAGTGTAACCCCTTGGTTAGTTGCTGCATGGCATCCTCCTTGGTATAACAGCTATGCTTCACACTATCAAGAATTTGAGTGTATGAGATTGGAAATGGAAGAACTTCTCTATCAATATAGGGTTGACATTGTTTTCAATGGTCATGTAAGTTAAATTTTTGTATCAGTTTTAAGACATTAGTTTGTAAATATCCAAGATCTCTCTTTTGCAGTTTTATATAGTTTTTTTTTTTTTACGATGGAGTTATTTTGTTAGTATATTATAAGATTAGGTAAATGTGAAAAAAATTCATTCTTTGCCTTCCTAAAATTCTCAAACAAGAGCTTTTATGGAGATAAATCCATGGATGTTGCTCTGTTCTCTTGGTAATTTAATCATGCAATGCAAGTTTTTGGCAAAATATGTTGTGATAGAATTTTGCAGCCATATCATGGATGTCTAATTTTGCATTTTTTTCTGTTATTCTTTTGAATAGAATTATATGCATTAGTGTTGAAATTTAGCTTATTTTACATGTAGGTTTTTCCAATTGTTCAAATAAACAGTGTCACATGTTGTCAATGTTGCAGGTTCATGCTTATGAGAGGATGAACAGAGTTTATAATTACACATTGGATCCTTGTGGACCTATCTACATAACTGTTGGAGATAGCGGAAATATTGAGAAAGTAGATGTTGATCATGCAGATGACCCTGGAAAGTGTCCATCTCCTGGTGATAACATACCAGAATTTGGAGGAGTCTGCAAATCAAATTTCTCCACTGGTCCTGCCAAAGGCAACTTTTGTTGGAACAAACAACCTGAGTGGAGTGCATTTAGAGAAAGCAGTTTTGGACATGGGATTCTTGAGGTAAAATCTTCAGACTCTGAACCTTTTCATTTTTGTTTCTATTGCTATTGCAACAGGTCTGCAGGTTCAGTTAGCTCAATCACCAATTGTTCTGTTCTTGTTGGTGTTCATTGGAATATGAATACTACTGATACTCTTTGTTAGAATTATTGGTAGAATTTAAGTATGAATTGAAGTTTCAAAAACAAGAAAGGTAAGTAACGTATAAATGAAAAAGTGGCAAAAATTTAATACTAAACGCTGAATTCTCTATATAATTAGATTATTAACTTCTCTTCTAATGCAAAACTATCCTTTTTTTTCCTTTACACACATTTAATTACAAGCTTAAACTTGTGTTATGTGTCTATGTATCCTTTTCTTAAAAAAAAATGTATCATCCAAATTTATTGCAGGTAGTGAATTCCACATATGCGTTATGGACTTGGCACCGAAATCAAGACAATTATAAAGAAAATGCAGTTGGTGACCAAATCTACATTGTGCGACAGCCTGAACTGTGCATGAAAGACTTAAAAGTAATACTTCCATACTGAAGCTTTTACTGATGCTTTATGATGGTATATGTGAATCTGAGGTTTTATGTGACTTCAAAGTTTGGACCAACTTTCTCTAATGAAAAACTGTTTTAATTGACTTGAAATCCATGATTTCCTGTTTTTTTATTGATCATGTGCAAAACCTACATTCTACATCATTTCTAACCAAGAATTTTTTTTCTTGCTGTCTTTTGTGGTGAAGAAGTGAATTTACTATATCCCCAAGGATTTTGGTTCTGTTGGTTTTCAGTATAGGGTATTCCCAACTCAGTTTGAAGAGTAAATTCAGTTTGGTGACATGTTTGATCATCCTAAAATATACGTTTTCACATTAAATTTTTCTGAAAACTTGGTTTTGCATAAGTATAAGTTAGGTTGCTTTTAACTCAAACTTAAGTTTGTGAATTTTAATCCAACCCTGCACTTAGTCTTCAACCAAGCTTAATAACATTGTGTAATTTTTGTAGCTGATGTTATAGGTAAGAAGAAAAGCTCTTGCTGAAATCATTGTCTCTTATGGTTGTAATAATTTTGTTGAGAATTTAAGTGTAAGTTAAAATCGAATAAAAATAAGAAAATTGAGTACCTGATAAATAATAGACTTCTACAAACCTAATGTTTTAAGATTTAGATTTAAGATAATGGTATATTCTTATTTATCTCTTCACAAATACTCAACAAGTTTAACTAAAAACTTTCTTATGGAAACTAATTGCAAATAAAAATGTTCTGTTTGGTTTTCATGTCAATGGTTGATGATCAAATTTAATTTTGTTTGCTTTGCCTTCACTCTCATTTTTTTCACACACTGAAAAATTGAAGTTATGTTTTTGGTTTGGTTATGATTTCAATCTTCTTTTTCCTTTGATGTAAAAGCCACGAGATTCACAACAATCACTTCCATTTAGTTCATCCCCTAAATCCTCTCATGCTCCTGGCCATCACTTTAAGGTATGCTCCTTCACTATCATGTTTCCTCGTCTCGATATGTTTGAAAAACTTTTTATCAACTTTTAGAGGAGAAAAATCAGAAAAAAGAAAATGATAACATATGTTTTTAATATGATGGAAAGAGAAATGAAATCCAACCTAATGAATTTAATCATTCAGGATGTTTCTTCCATCATATCACAATTTCTTGGGGTTCTCTTTATATATGGTCTATATTTGTAAGGTAATATCTCTTCTTTGTGGCATTGTGAATTCATGGTGTCTCATATCTTAATAGATTACAAAAATTAAAATGTGGTTATTGATGTAGAAAACACTTCTTGTTTTCTTAATTTATTGAAAAATTGATACATTAATTGGGTTGTTTTAATATTTTTATTTCTGAAAATAGAAGATAAAAAAAAACTAATAATCAACCTAAATTTTTGAAAAGTACACAAATGAAAACTATGTTGAGAAAATGAATCTAATTTTGTTATTTTTCTTTGATTTTGAAGGTGGAATGGAGCTAGGTTTCAATGCATAAAAGCACAAGATTATTTGCTCTCCATGGATGTACATGATGTTGACTGAAGATTTATGTTCATCATGAAAGTTGATATTTTAATTCCTAGAAATATGTTAATCTTATCACTTTTAGTTGTATGAGTTTTAAAAATTTAAACTAAATAGTAAATAATGCATTACACTATTAATAGTTTTTTCTCACTTGTTTTACTTTTAAGAATTAAAGTTAGAATGCCTTACATTTTTAAGAATTTTAGAGTATACTTAATAAGAGATTTTTATTAAATAAAAGATAAGTTGTTTTAAATAATATTAGATTTAGTCAAATTTTTTATGGAAAATTAATTAACTAAATTATGTTAATAAATATTATCATATACTATAATGAAATCTAAATTAAAAAATATAAAATAATAAATTGTTTAAATTTTTTACTTTTTTGTTTAAATAAAATTAGATATAAATTACTTTTACATTACATAATGTGCTCCATCTTATGTTAAAAGTGTTTCATCCTCTTTATATTAATATTTTATTTATTAATAACATTACTATTTTCAATATTATTATTATTATTTAATGAATTATTAAAAAATAGCTATTATTAAATTTAGAAAAATATAATCCAAATGTTTTAATATTTAAAATATTATATATTCTTTGATTTCATTTAAAATGTCTATTAAACATACATCTAATTTACTTCTTATTCAATAATAAAATTTCTTGTATATTTTAATGGTAAAAGAACCAATTTATTTGTAAAATAAACCATTTTTAGGATAATAAGTATATTTTTATTAATTTTGATGCTAATTTTAACAAAAGATAAATAGTTTTACATATTTTATAGTTTTATAATATAATATGGAAGTAATGTACCAACTACCATTAAAAGAAAAATAAGAACAAAACACATGCACACGAATGTTATCACTTTCATTTTATTTTTTCAATCAAAATCTTGAAAGTTACTAAAAACAAAATCAAATCATAACTCACTGCTATACCTCACAATCTAAATTGTCATGAACATTACATCACATTTTTTTTTTCAATAATTTTCAACAACCAAAAAAAAAAAACGTTTGACTCAATTATGACCCATGGATTTCTAATCCTCTCCTATCGCACTTAAGCTTCCTTCAACCCCCCGTTCCTTCCGAAAACAATGGAGGAAAGAGAGAAAAATAGGAGAGGAGAGAGAAAATTTGGGGAAGGAGGGGGTTGTTCATTTCCTTGTTCTAGTCTACAACAAAGCCACCATTTTTCCTCGTGCGCCTCGCACAACACCCTCTTGGGAATCCCCAAAAGGGTTGCATTGAATTGCACAGAACAAAGACAAAGCGAGAAACGAAGGAAGAGACCCCAAAAAAAAAAACATAGGAGAAAGAAAACAACAGGGGAGGAACGAAACGATTGTTTTTGTCATAATTCAAAATGCCCCTTTTTCTGAGTTTTGTTCATCTCGCTCTCTTCTGAGTTTCTTTGTTCTGAGTGTAGCAATCACATTGGAGGGTGTTGATGTAGGGGAAACTCTCCCCTACGATCGTCATCGTCCATTTTCTTCTTCATCTTGATCAAATGGGTTGCATTAGCTCCAAGAATGTGGTTGCCAAAGCTTATTCTCCATCTCCGACAGTGGTTGCTAGTTCCAATGGTTTTCCAACTTCCACCAAGGGTCATTCTGCATTGATGATTTTGGATTCAAAAACAGTTTCAGAGGATGAAAGGAACAACAAGTTTAAGAAAAATAGTTCGAAGAAGAGTAATGGGTCTTTGACCTTAAGGCTTGGGTTGGTTCAAAGGAATGTTGAGGCTGAACAAAATGCTGCTGGTTGGCCTCCTTGGCTCACTACTGTTGCAGCAGAAGCCATTCAAGGATGGATCCCCCTCAAAGCTGATTATTTTCAGAAGTTAGAAAAGGTAATAATAATATGCTTTTGATTTTGATCTTCATTCACAACTTTCACTTTTCTTTGTTAAAGGAAGAAGTTCTAAAAAAGATACCCATTTAGGGCCAAATGGGTCATTTCATTTGCACTATAACAAAACTAATTCATTAATATATTTATTATACATGCTATCAATATCAAAATTTAATATCAATATAAGAGTAATGTAAAAAATCAATTAAAGAATTTTACTTTAGTGTTGATTTATTATTTATTATAATTTTTTATATTAACATTTATTACACAAGCCATTTCTTTGAGATAAAGTTTCAATTCTAATAGATATAAGTAATAAAAAAATCAACTAAAGTATCATGCTTTAGTTTTATATGGTTATTGTTATATATATATTTTTTTTAATATTTTTTTCTTTCTTAATATATTATTTTTAATATGATATAAATCATGAAAATAATTATTTTATGAATAATATGTATTTCCTGATTGTGTATTGTAATTTCTAGAATGATTAAATGTGTCACCGTCACAATAATAGATATGCAATGATGAACTTCTGAATTTGATATTGTCAATTTTAAAGGTTAAAGTTGTATTATTTATGTAATTGTATTAGAAATATTAATTTATGCATGTAATCTAAAATATGATATTATTGCATGAAATTGTTACATTTAAGTACTAAAAAGATGTAATTATAAATTTAACCAAATTGATTGAACTAAGATTGGAAAATACTTGATTTTCACTTGTAAGGTCTGAAACTGAAACCATAGTTTCAACAAAAACTATGGTACATCATGCATGTTGTCATCTTTGTTAAGCCATTTTGAAGTAATGACGCATGTTTTTTTCATTTCTATAGATTGGTCAAGGTACATATAGCAGTGTGTTCCGAGCCCGTGAAGTTGAAACTGGAAAGATGTTTGCTTTGAAAAAGGTGCGCTTTGACAATTTTCAACCTGAGAGCATTAGGTTTATGGCAAGAGAAATAACAATCCTTCGTAGGCTTGATCACCCTAACATCATGAAATTGGAGGGCATAATCACTTCTCGCCTATCAAATAGCATATACCTTGTGTTTGAATACATGGAGCATGATCTTGCTGGCCTAGTTTCACGTCCTGATATTGTGTTCTCTGAAACACAGGTTTGTTAGCATCTCATTTATACCAAATTTATGTTATTAGAGTCATAAACTTTATGTGTATATTAGACAAGACTTAATGCATGTTATTACACTAATTATCTAAACATTCATGGTCTACTACACTTGATCTGTGACCCTTTCTTTGTCTATTTATTTTACTTCCACCTTTATATTTTGATGTTCAAAAGTTAGTAAGGTCTTTAATGATACATGCACATGTGTTTTCTTTATAGATAAAATGTTACATGAGGCAACTTTTAAGTGGACTCGAGCATTGTCATATGCGTGGTATTATGCACAGAGACATCAAAGTGTCAAATATCTTATTGAACAATGAAGGTGTTCTCAAGATAGGAGATTTTGGATTAGCAAATACAATCACTACAAATAGCAAACATCATTTGACAAGTCGTGTTGTAACTTTGTGGTATCGTCCTCCTGAGCTATTGATGGGATCAACCAACTATGGAGTGTCAGTGGATTTATGGAGTGTTGGTTGTGTATTTGCAGAACTTTTTCTTGGGAAGCCTATCCTTAAAGGGAGAACTGAGGTAATTCTTGTAATTGATGTATGTTATGTACCATTTCTATTTACATATGTATACACACACACACACACACACATTTATTTAGTTTTTTTAGAACTTGAATGTGCTACCAATTGTCCATTGGAAAACATATAATCATAAGATAATACAAGCCTTACTTTTACTTTTGTTGTTTGACATGTATGGTTTTCTTGAATGTATAGGTTGAACAGTTGCACAAAATTTTTAAGTTGTGTGGTTCTCCACCTGAGGAGTTCTGGAAAAAGAACAAGCTTCCTCATGCAACAATGTTTAAGCCTCAGATAAATTATGAAAGTTCTCTTCGAGAAAGATGTGCAGATTTTCCTGCATCTGCTATAAACTTACTTGAGACTTTATTATCCATTGACTCAAGTAATAGAGGAACTGCTTCATCTGCCTTAATGTCTGAGGTAAAAATTCCATTGATATGAATTATTCTTATTTATAATCCTATACTGTGATAAATAGTTGATTTGATACTCTATTCATATACTTCATAAATATATTTCTAGAGACATTGATGTGGTATGATCTTTGCTTACTGTTTATGCATATGACTTCTAAACTGTTATACTAGAGATGTTACTTTATTATGATGCTTGTTTAATATTGACAACTAAGTATAATTTTAACTTGGATTTCTAATTTTGTTTTCATGATATACCCTTTGTAGTATTTTAGCACCAAGCCATATGCTTGTAGCCCATCAAGCCTGCCAAAGTATCCCCCTAGCAAAGAAATGGATGTAAAATCTCAGGAAGAATCATCCAGGTAAATCAGATGTAGTTATTTATGCGATTGAATTTTTTCATTTAACTGAGTCAAATGGTGTTGAGTCATGTAATTGACCTGACCTAGGGGATAACTCTTATTTTCTGGGACTAACTCTTGATCACTACTCTTAGAAAAAAGACTGAAGGTAAAATGAGAGAGGTTGCAACATCAAGAAGACAACAAAGACGAATCACTAAAACTTTGCAGGATCCAAACAATTTCGGTAAAGCAACTTCAAAAGAGGTACTCATTTTTCAATGGAATGTTACTACAGCACTTGAAGATAATTATTTTTCAATACTTATCTTACCTTGTTTATAAAGGACATGCAAAATGGTGGTAGAAATGATGGTAAAGCACATCTTACAAAGGGAAAAGGAGGAGCCATGTACAAAGAACACAGTAAACCTCCATTGGATGTTATGTCTGAGACTTCCCAAGTGATGAATGTTGTTAATGGAAGTGGTTATAGTGTGCCAATACAAGTCCCAGGATCTAATGATGCCTATACATGGGTAAAAAGAAGAAAACAAGATGCATCATCAACTCTCTCAGATGGCTCAAGAAGCAAAATTAGTGCATTGGATCCAAACTTCGCCAAAGGAACATATGATTTAACTACCCAAAGGGTGTCAATGGATTTTGATCCTGCTGAGTTGGTGAATGCTCAGGTAAGCATTATGCTTAAGTGAATATGATAATAAATGCTTTAGATTACTATATCACAGAAACCTTCAAAAGTTATGATTGTTGTCAAATTAAACTCATGTTGTCACTAGTTGTCATCACAAACTGGCATAAGTTTTAGCTTGGCTACTGAAAACTAACACCTGACATAAATAGATGCATATAATTTGAAATTATTGCATGGTCTATAAATAAGACTGCTCATCGATGATAATCTCCATAAGACACATGAATTTTATCATTTTTTTTAATTGTAAATTAGATAAAGTAAGTTAGATGTGAAATGAATATTTGAGATCACTCTTTTAAAAATTTGATCAGAGTGATTAAAATCATTACAACCAAAAACTAATTTGGTATGCTATTTGTAAATAATTGAATTTTTAATTAAATCAGTATAAATTTAAAAGAACAATTGGATTTTGGTAAAAGAAAAAAAATTAAAGATGAAAATTTTTATTTTTTTAAATATAATTTTTTTAATGAAAGATACAATATTTTTTAATTTTTTTCTCTCATATTAATAATGTTAATTTTAAATAATAATTATTTTATTGTATTTTTATTTTATTCCTATATTCTCAAATATATTTTATATTCATAATTTTTATTATAATTTATATTAAACATAATAATAATTTTTATTATTTTTGTATATATAAAAAATGTTATTACTAATGAATTTATTATATTATAAAAATGTTATTTTATTAAATTTGATGGAATATCTTGAACCCATTTTTTTAGGTGCAGTTACCGATATAGTTTTAAAAAATCGGTTGAAATCATAAAAATACGGTGATATTTAATTTCTTGTATATGGTATGCATGCATATGCAAAGTTTTTACATTATTTTGGAATACTAATAAATAATTAACTTTATTATGCTACTCATATATATTCTATTTAGATCAAATTACATTATGCTTTATTTACAAAATATTTTCCAGGGTGGCAAAGAACATGATCCACATTGGAAAGAAAATGGCACCCGACATGCAATTCGTAAATCAAGGTTTGGAAGAGGTAAAAAGACATATATTTACATTTGAAAAAATTGTCATAAGTAGAACACTTTTTATATCATGAAACCAAAAAGAAAAAAATAATATTATATGTAAAACAATTTTCATAATAAATTGTACAACAAATAAAGAGAAAAAAAAAAAAAGAGTGATAGAAGTTTGAAATGTGATATATGACAAAGGGGAGAGTGAAGACCACAAAAATTATTTTGTCTAAAACAACATTACGAAATCATGAGTACTTACAAATCAATTTGTTGTTTACAGATAAATGAGGCAAGGATACCAAAAGTTTGGTGACCAACAAAACATTTATGCCATTGATGAAATCTAGTGGAGAAATTGGAACCATTTTTGTTTTTTACTTGACCTCTCTGGACACATCTTGGTGACATTTTCCTCTTTCCATCACAAGAGTTACTTGTTCATACCCTTCAATCATACACATATTAACATTCAAAACAGGATTACAATATATAATGCAACATGCAAAGAGATGATCCAATACAATGATGTTTTACTTTTCTCATGTATGCCAATTTTCTCTTAGTGTAAGATTTTTGTTTTCTTTTTAAAATAAAACAAAAAAACAAAAAATACACAAGAAAAATACTGTGAAATATGTTGTGTTCTTAGGAGACCCATTTGGATCAAACATAATTAATCAATAACAATAATGGGTTAATTCCTTAATAACATTGTGTTACAAGTATGTTAGAGATCATGCAATTCATTGAAACTTGATAATAAAAAAATTAAACAATCTTATTATAAAATTATCTTAATATTTTGAGACCATTGTACATGTTCCTTCCAATTTTGGCATATAAAATAGAACAAGTGAGATATTTCTTCTTAATGACCATGAAACAAAAATGATAATAGACATACTCTACTTAACAAAAATATTAAACAAATTAATGAAATTGACTCAAATGTATAAGAAAAAAAAATCAATAACCTTATTAAATATGATTAATAATAGCCTCAAGCTAAAATGAAAGAAATGTCTTCTTCCTTGTAAATAAACCCTATAAAAGGTTAAACAATTTGAACTTAAATCAAGATGGTAGATAGATTAAAAATCAACTTACTCATAAACTAATCAATAACTTAAAAGGCTAATATACTATTAGGAGTGACAAAATCATAACTGACATTAATACATTCATTATCCTATCATGTACTATGAGAAAGTAATAAGATTAATCTTAACTGTAAAAGCCTTGATTTAGAAGTTTCAATATAATAATAAGTAACTTTTATATCAAAATGAATACATTGATTGGAAAGATAAATCCAATTGAATTTAATAAAATAATATTTTTATAATATATAATAAAAATTTTAATACTAATAATTAAAAAAATAAAAATTTGATAAAATAATATTTTTATAATATAATAAATATATAATAAGTTTTTTTAATACTAAAAATTAAAAAAAACAATAATAACAAGTTACTGTTATAATAGAAATTATAAATAATAGATATATTAAAAAAAGTAAAATGAATAATTATTAAAATAAAATAAAAATATAATAAAATAATTATTATTTAAAATTAATATAATTAATATGAAATAAAAAAATAAAAAATATTATATATTTTATTAAGAAAATATAAAAAAAATTGATCTAACTTTTTTTATCAAAATCATTGAAAAAAATTTAATTGTATTTTGTCTTAATTTTTTTAATTGTATCTCGATTTAATTAAAATTTAATTATTTAGAAATAATTAACAAATTTTAATCCGATTCTTGGGTTGAATTTAATTTTAAATTTTTTAAGTTGATTTTTCGGATTAGACATTTTTTAATATTTGTAATTTATTTTTTCATTAATACTATAACGTATTCAATTATAATTAGGATAATATTTAATCATAGTTTATAATATATTAAGTTAAATCTTTAAATAATTACGTTTGTCTAGTATATTTTTTAAGAATTAATTTCATGTTATTTTTATATTATTTATCTTTATTTTTATCCAATTAAAATGGTTAAAAGAGGGAAGATTCAATATGTAAAACAATTTAGTTTTTTTAAGGATAAGACTCATTACTTTGTTCAACTGAGCATCCACTGAAAGAAGAGTTCTAAAATAAAGGTCGTAAATATTGTTTAAGTGAGAAATGTCACATAAAATGCATGAGTATTAAAATTTTAAATGTTAAATTTTTTAATAAATAATTATAAACATACTTTATCTTCAAAATACACCACCTTCTGATTTTTTTCCTTAATAATATTTTAAATGTGTTTGATTTTTTTAAAACTTGTTTTAATAAAAAAACTACAATGTAATTTTGTTTTTATTTTAACATACTATTTTAGTTTTCCCATTCATTTTTCCGTAATTTTAGTGTCCAGATTCTACATTTTTTTAATACAATCCTCAAACTTTATTTCTTTTAGTTTGGTTTAATTGAATTATAAACTTAACATATTTATTAACGGCACCATAAAAAAAAAACAAATTAGATTAAAATCACGAACTTTTTATAAGTGAAAACTGAAATCATAAAAAAAAATACATATAAGACAAAACAAAAGTAACAATATAGTTTAATTAAATTTTATTATTATTGATAAACTAAATTACAATAGCTAAATAAATTAATTTAGTATTGAATGCGTAAAAAATTAAATTCATGTCTAATATCAAAGTTCAACGATAATATAATTTATAATTTAAAGTTAAATTAATCTTTAAAAATATATTTCAATAGTAAAATAGTAGAAAAAATATTAATAAATAAAATGTAATTATAAGACTTTTGAGATGTTCTCAGGTGAAAATAATTTTATTTTCTAAAAGATTAAATGAAGTGAAAAAACAAAATAAAATAAATTTATAGTATTATTATTTATTTATGGAAAATGAAAGCAAAGAAAGAAAGAGGAAAAGGACACAAAAGTGCGAAGCGAAGGGAGGGGGTAAGAGAAACGCAGCATCTTACCATAATAATAGCAGCAGCGCACGAACGAACAGCACAAACAATGCTCTCTTCCATCTTCCTTCACAATCCACCACTCTAGCCTTCGTTTCGCTTCGGTGAGCGTGCCTTCTGTCTTTCCAAACCCTCTTTTCTCTCGTTGCTTTCTCGGATCTGAATTCTAATGCCTTCTCTCCCGTCTCTGCATTCCCCTTCACCACCGGATTAATTGATTCCGATTTTCTCTTCTGTTTCGTTTCCTCGATTTGCTGTTACTTTTTCGATCTGTTCGACTGAGCTTCTGATTTTTTTTTTCTCGGATTTTTTGTTTTCGATTGGAGTTCGCGGTGTTTGTTGTTATGCGTCGGTTTGAATACTCTTTGCATGGGTGATTGTGTTGTGTCGTTGAGAATTTATCGAAACGAGGGGAATTAGGGTATGGTAGATGGCGACATTTCGCATCTGCTGAATTTTTGGATTAGTTTGATTTGATGCTACTGTAGAACAATTGAGGAAAAAAAAATTGTTATGTGGTGGAAACTGGAAAGGAATTGCTTGAGGTATATGGTATGAGGAGGTTTTTGAGAAGAGGAAGCAGGGTGGTGTCACTCAGAGTTTGACTTGAGGTCTTGAGGGGTTTTTGATTTTGGCGCCTTGACCGGAGAGGCACCAATTGGCTGCATTGCATGTCTAACAGAAGAGAGGTAGGTCCCAATAGGTTGCATTGAATGTGTAGCAGAAGAGAGATGCCAGTAGATTGTGTGAGTCACGTTAGACATATTGTCAAAGATCTGAAAATTCGATAGATGTCTGGATATTTTACGATTTTTTTAACAGCTACTGGTAGGATGTGCCTTGTGTGAACTGACAAGGCTTGGCAAAGGTGCCACGGGTGTGGGCTGGGGCAGCATTTCAATCAGGGGGAATAAGTAATCACAATCTACTCTGTCACCTCAGACAACTAGCTTGCATGTGTAAAGGTAGAAAGGTGTTGATTTTATTTTGTTTTAACTGTTTAGTTAGCCTAATTAGCATCAAAGTTAGCAAGTTAAATGGCTGGACATTTTGAGTTTATTTCCAGCCACTGGTAAGGTGTGCCGTGGATGAACCAAAAATACTTGCCAGAGGATGGGCTGGGCAGTACATCAATAGCATGAGGCGCCAATTTATTCTGCCACCTCACCAAGTTAGATTTGCCTTCTGGCTCATATGATATGTTGTTTTCCTCTGTCAACTCTTCTATGCTAAATGAAAATTTTCATACCAGTTAGATGCCAGAAAAATTATATCCTTCTGAGTTTGACACAAACTGCTGGCAATTAAGTAGCTGTTTTCCATGGATCAGTGGAGCCTCATTGATACTTATTTAATCTACTTGCTTACTTTGTTTGCTTCTTACAGTCCCAAACAGTCAATGGTGACAAAGAGTAATTTATTTAGACAATTTGTTACTCCTTTAGTGTAACATTCAACTTTGTAGATGATTGGCATGCTGTTATTTATGACTATCAATTACGCTGTCCAATTCAAAATAATACTTTCATGTTTTCAAAAGCACTAATTACTTTTGTCAACTTATCCTTGTTTTTCTGGTATTTCCTTTTGCAAACCTTAAAATGACAATTATTTGGAAACAGTTGTAATAGGTGGGTGCTAAAGGCAAGTGCCTTATTTGTACTAGAAAGGTATGTATGAGACATTAGTGATACACTTCATTGAAAGGGCACGGTGTCTAGACCAGTAAGTGGGGCTTATGCATTTTGAAGGCTCGCCTCAATGCTTCTAGCAGTGTGCCTTTTGTTGGATTGGTTGATATTGTTGTCCATTTATACTATGAAAGAAAAAAATTATCAGGGTAAATAGTCTAGCTGATTTTATATTTACTAAAATTTGAGTTTAGGACCTAACTTAGCCATACAAACACCAGTTTGTAAGTTGAAGACTGCCAACACCTTATAAGGATTACATTTTCCATATATCTAGGTGATGTGGAATCTTAACATACCATCTTAAGCCTGAGACTTGACATTTGGATTGTGCACAAATGCAGGTCCCCCAATAACAATTTGTTTTTGTGCCTAGAAATAGACAAATTAGGGTGGTCCAATAATAGATCCAGGTTAGGCTATGATATCATATTAAAATTTGGGTTTAGAACTCAACTCAATCCTATAAAAAACTTGCTTGTGAGGTAAGGATGACATTAGCTGTATACCTCTAATCAGTGGGTTTTGTTCCTGACAATTTAAGTGAGAACTAAATGGATCTATCCCTTCATGGACTAATGGGACCAGTACCTTTCTTTTAATAAACAAAAGGAGAATTTATTGAGGAAAGAACAAAGTAAAGTCTAAAACTGAAAAAAAACAAATGCCAAAACAGCCAAAGTCAACAACCATGAAACAAAGCTGGCCAATCTCTCTGAAGATATAATAAAGACACACTAATCATGACACTCCCATAAAAAGACCACTGGCAGAGGACCACGCTGCAGCTACAAAAACTACTCAACCCCAAATGGGCTCAAAAGAAGACTGCTGCTGACCATAGAAAATTTGAGCATTTCTTTTTATCCAAAGAACTGCAAACTGGGTTCATTGCCAAAGCGTGTTGGTGTCTTTGGTAATGTCAGAACCTCTCAAATTAGTACAAAAGAACTACTGGGTATCTGTGGGAGTTGTGACAAACTCAATGCTTACCAATAACTTATAAATTATTCAAAGATTGGAAGCTGCCGAATATCAAAACCAGATCTAGAGTCACTGTTAAGAATTGTAGACTATGGCAACTAGCCAAAAATCTGCCATATAAATATGGCAGATGGCGTTGCAGTGTATGGTAGAAGTACAATGTGCATGTGTATGTATTTGTGTATATATAATCAAGAGATAAAATTGCAATGTAGAGGTATGTTCAAGCAGTCAACGGCAATATTGGGCTGGAGAGAGACTAGTGTAATGTTACAAGTAGAGACAAGTTAGAGAAACCAAATGAGTAGTGGGATGGTGGGTGTTAAAGAACGTAGATGTCAGAGATCACTGTTGCCAGTGGTGGTTGTATAGAAAAGACATCAAAGGTAGGGGAAGGTCATTCCTTGCAGGGCTTGGGCTCATTGTTTGAGAAAATACAATTTGTTTGGCTTTTAGGTGGGTGGTCATTTTTGTTAATGGTTAGGTCATGGGTTGGGATTTTTGGGTATTCTAAATTTGGGATGGCGTTGGAATTTTTTTTTTTTTTAATTTGGGATTGGATTGTGGGTTAGAGAACCAAAACCCATATATTTTTGCATTTTCTGCTGCTCATCTCTCCTTTTCCATCTTTGTCTTCTTAGATGCTGCCATGACTGTTCCTTTTTGCTACTTGAAAGGTGGATGCCATAGCACTGCCATGTGAAACCATTGCCATATAATGGCTGGCTGTGAGAACTCCTGGTGCAAACCAGAAAACTTGACATGCAGTATTATCAGCAAAGAGACAAAATATGGAAGAAAAACGGGAGGGATTTGATTACTTGACAGAAACAAAGAACAACTATGCATCAAGAGACATGACCTCAAGATACCCAGAGCACTGCTCAGTATTACAAAGAGATATTATCTCTCCATACACGTAAAACCGAAAAAAGATCCCCCCCTTGACAGAAATAAACCTACTATATAGTTAGTTATTTTTTCTCCCCTCTAACTAACTTCCTCAATAACGGGAATTGGAAATTTATCTAGAATTGTCACATTGTTCAACACCCTGTAGTCTACACACATCCTCCAGGACTTGTCTTTTTTCTTCACTAGAATCACTAGACTAGAAAACGAACTGTTGTTGTGTCGAATAACCCCATTATCCCATAATTCCTTGACTTGACGTTCAATCTCGTCTTTTTGATGATGTGCATATCTATAAGGACGCACGTTGATTGGGCCTTGACCAGGATACAAGGTGATGCTATGTGCTTTGGTTCTATTAGGGGGCAAACCCTGAGGTTCTTGAAAAACATATTTAAGTCAAGCCAATAAGCCTTGTAAATCTTGCTTCTGCATTTGGTCTCGCATTGTCACCAACTCACTTTCACTTACCCAAACTTCTGCCACTACCTTCTTAGTAGAAATCATTCCTTCTAGCGAGTTAAGGATGTCTTATTTTTTTATTTTGCTGTGTTGAATATAGAGAAAATAGGGTTTGGAATTAATTTCCCTTATGTATAAATCACACATAGGGTGATCTATTTATAGTAGAGAGATACAACTAAAAGAGTAACTGAAAGTAACAGAATAAACAGAAGATATTGTTTGATATTGTGGTTACCAATATCTTAACAATATCAAATAATATCTAAACAATATCTAACACTCCCCCTCAAGCTGGAGCATACAAATCGTATGTGCCAAGCTTGTTACAAATATAATCAATTCTAGGACCCCGTAAAGATTTAGTAAAAATATCTGCTAACTGATCACTTGAGTTAACAAACTCAGTCTTGATATCTCCAGACATAATCTTTTCTCGAATAAAATGACAGTCAATCTCAATGTGTTTGGTCCTCTCATGAAAGACAGGATTATAACTAATATGAAGAGCAACCTGATTGTCACACACAAGTGTCATTTGAGTGACATCTCCAAATTGTAACTCTCTAAGCAATTGCTTGAGCCAAACAAGTTCACGGGAAGCTGAGGCCATAGCTCTATATTCTGCTTCGCACTAGATCTTGCCACAACACTTTGTTTCTTACTTTTCCATGAGATCAAGTTACCACCAATGGAGACACAATATCCGGATGTAGATCTTCTATCCGAAGGAGATCCTGCCCAATCAACATCTCGAGTAGCAAACAACTCTTGCATGGTTATTAGAACCATATAACAATCCTTTTCCAGGAGATCCTTTAATTTACTTCAAGATACGAATGATCGCATTCCAATGATCTTCACATGGTGAATTAAGAAATTGACTTACCACACTGATCGCAAAGGAAATGTCGGGACGAGTAACTGTAAGATAATTCAATTTTCCAACCAATCTTCTATACTGCTCAGGATCAGATATAGGCTCCCCCGATTTGGTAGAAGTTTAGTATTGGGATCCATGGGTGTATCAACAGACTTTGAACTCATCAACCCAGTTTCCTCCAAAATATCTATGGCATACTTCCTCTGAGATATAACAATACCATCATTGGACTGTGCTACCTCAATACCCAAGAAATATCTAAGTTTGCCAAGATCTTTGGTCTGAAAATGGTGACAGAGATGTTGTTTCAACTGAGAAATGCCATGGTTGTCACTACATGTAAGAACAATGTCATCAACATATACTATCAAGTAAACACATCCAGCACTCGAGTGTCGATAAAAGACAGAATGATCTGATTCACACCGAGTCATACCAAATTGTTGAACAACCTTGCTAAACTTTCCAAACCAAGCCCTAGGAGACTGTTTTAGGCCATATAGGAATTTGCGAAGACAACATACCATCCCAGAAGACTCCCCCTGAGCAACAAACCCAGGAGGTTGCTCCATATATATTTCTTCTTGCAAATCACCATTGAGGAAAACATTTTTAACATCCAGTTGATAAAGAGGCCATTGTTGAAGAGCAGCCATGGCGATAAATAAATGAACAAAAGTCATCTTTGCCACAGGGGAAAAAGTATCTTCATAATCCAACCCAAAAATTTGAGTATAACCTTTGGCCACAAGACGAGCTTTGAGGTGATCAATAGTACCATCAGGTCCAACTTTGATAGCAAACACCTACCAGTAATATGATCAGTGGCTCCTGAATCAAAAACCCAAGGACCAGGAGAAAATGATTGGGTCAGACCAGCAAAATATGTATTTGTATGTGTGACAGATATAGTGGAACTAGAAGACTGTTGATCCTTATACCATTCGAGAAATTTGTTGAACATAGCAGACATGTCGGATGCAACAGAAGAAGGAAGATCCCCTGCAGATAAAGGTGGGGAAAGATTGGTCTGAACAACTACAGCAGACTGAGGAGGATGATCATGTAATGTATAACACTTGTTAATCTTGTGACCTAGCTTGCCACAATGTTCACACTTAGGACGCCCTTTTTCCTGTTTGCGAGGGCGAGCCCGGTCATCACGATGGGATGTCAACACAAAAGAATCGTTAACAAAATTGGAAATAGTGAAAGAAGTCATGAAGAGCGGGAGAACAAACCCTAAAACAATCCAAAGTAATCCAATTAACCCACGAAGCACAAATCCAAAATGAGAATACTAAAAATAAGTTCGCCAAGACTAAACGGTGCAGGAGACAATGGGACGACCAACTCCGATAGTGGTGATCTCAATGGCACGGTGGTCACCTGACCGAGACAAGCAAAATCATATGTCACCGGTAAAAAAAAAATTGAAACTCCGACGAATTCTCCGACAGCGGCGGACCCGGTGACTGCTCCAGCAGCAGCGGTGACATTAACGTTAACTAGTACACCAGGTAAGTTCCCAGGAAAGAGAGGTGTGTCACTAATGGATACACTTAAATACCAAGTCTTTCCTTGCCAGAACTTTCCTAAACATGCACTTTCACACTACCAAATAAAATTCAATGACAAAGATAATTCTTTTTTGATGTGGAGGATCAGTTTACCAGCAGCGGTGGGGCGGCTCCAATAGTGGACAAAAGGCGGAAAAAAAAATTCAAGATAACCTTAAGCTCTGATACCATGTTGAATATAGAGAAAATAGGGTTTGGAATTAATTTCCCTTATGTATAAATCACACATAGGGTGGTCTATTTATAGTAGAGAGATACAACTAAAAGAGTAACTGAAAGTAACAGAATAAACAGAAGATATTGTTTGATATTGTGGTTACCAATATCTAACAATATCTTAATAATATCAAATAATATCTAAACAATATCTAACATGCTGCATTGTTCCTTTTAACTTGACCCATTCACCGTTATGCACAAAACTAAGAGACTGAAATTTCCAATCAATAATCATCTCCCCCAAGGAAGCCAACCATGAAATTCCTAACACAACGTCAATATCTTCAAGATCGAACAAATAGGAGTCTAACACAAACGTCCGATGACCCAATTTAACATGAAGTTCCCAACACTTTCCACGCGTAATTGATTTATGGCCATCCCCCATCAAGATCTTCAAGTCTTCAAGTCTTTTGTCTCTTCTATCGACCATCCCATTACCTCCTCTAAACTTCTAGAGATAAAAGTGTCAGTGACTCCGCTATCCACCAAAACACATACAAGAATGCCATGAATTTCACCCTCAAGCTTCAATGTTTTCAGTTGCGACATGTCCTCAATGTAGTGCCACAGATTACGCAAGTGAAGAATAGAACATTCTCCATCAATTCGGTCCATATCATGCAAAATCACGTACTCAGAATCAAAATGATCATCGTCGATATCTCCTTCATCAGTCAACATTAACTTCAATTGTTTTTCTGGACAAACGTGTTAAGGTGAATAGGTTCCACCACATTTAAAGCAGATGTCACGTTGTCTTCTATCCATAAGCTCATTATATGACATCTGTCTCATCCCACGATCTCTTAGTCCACCACCATTTCGTTCTTGCACCACCTCACGTGAATTGGACCCCGACCCATTAGTTCCACTTGTGAAAACCTAACCCCTAGCCCCTTTCTCAATTTTCGTTTGATTTCTAGATACCACACTTGAATTGGGCCTTGCAGACCAATGCGACCCACGTAGATCCATCCTTCTTGGTGAAAAGACCATTCTGCCCTTATCCCTAAGTTCCACCTCTACTATTCGTGTGACGTTAAGCAAACGTGAATGAGTCAGAGTCCCCATAGCTTGCATACTCCTCACACAATCACGAATATCGTCCTTCAATCCATGTGTAAAGAAACTCAAAATTCTGGATATATTGATCAACATCATGGGTCTGCTCCAACGCCATAAGTTGATCGTATGCATTCCCTTTTCCCAAACCTCCATAACGATCCAATAATGCTTCCTTCAACTGTTCCCAGGAGACATTTTCCCTTTCGTTGGGCAACGAATTGAAAAAATATATCGTCCCTCCGTCCATACACAATTGCGCCAGACGCACGCGTAAATCTCTTGTATTTTTGATATTTTGAATCTGGATATAAACTTTGGCACGTGATATCCAATCGGCGGGGTCCTTGCCGTTGAACGACGAAAGTTCGACCTTCTTTACGGATTGCCTAAATTCCTCCAAGGCATCTCCCTGGAATTTGGGGTCTCCATCACTCTTGTTCCCTTCCGAAATGCCTTTTCCACCCTCCTTTTCGCCTTCGGGGCCGTCATTGGATGAATGAACTCCCTCACCATGGTTCTCCGACATCTCTCCACTCCTTTTCCCTAGATCCTTGGCAAAGCCACTCAGGCTTTGAACAATAAACTCCATCATCTTCTTCTGATTTTCCTCCATCGTCAATCGTAAACCGAATAGTTCCTTTTCCACCGTTTCCAAACGAGAATCCACCGTTTCTATAGACATCGATGTTGCGTTCGTTGTTTTCTTGTTTCTTGGCATTCACGGAAGTGTTTGATCAGACAGGTCGGACCAATTTGATGCAAACCAGAAAATTGACACACAGTATTATCAACAAAGAGACAAAATATGGAAGAAAAAAAACGGGAGGAATTTGATTACTTGACAGAAACAAAGAACAACTATGCATCAAGAGACATGACCTCAAGATACCCCAGAGCACTGCTCAGTATTACAAAGAGATATTCTCTCTCCATACCCGTAAAATCGAATGCCAAAAGATCCCTCCCTTGACAGAAACAAACCTACTATATAGTTAGTTATTTTCTCTCCCCTCTAACTAACTTCCACCTCAGCATATCTACTTTCCTTTTCCTATTTTCTTCTCCCTTCTCTTGTAAACCAACCACATCTTGGGCTTGCTGGCAGCTTCATGGATCAATAATTCTTCCGACCCACTAACTTTCTCCTGATCCCCATCAACTCCACAACGGCTGTTTTTTAACATCATTGCCATAGCTTATGGGGACTAAAATAAATGAGAACCTTAATGATTAAAATTTTGAATAAGATTTTAGTCCTACATCCTATAGTTTCTATCAATTTGAGTTTTGATCCATGAAGAAGTGATAGGGATCAATACCCTAATGAATAAAAGCTATCAAGATTTTGAACCGAAAGGGTTAAACATGTAGTAGCTAATGTCTTAATGGTTTGCACCAAAACTAAAACTAGTAAATTCTTGATTGATAGATGTCCTAAGGTAGTCAATGGTGTGAGATAGAAGAGACAGTCATGGGCCACTATGGGATTCAAATAACAGCCAAAATAGTGGCTTTTCACCTGCTATATTGGTGTTACCATGACATGGGCTTCAAAATCCCATTTTTATGCATAAAACAACATTTTTGGAGTATTTTTTTGGGTAAAATTTTGATTTCTTCTCTATTTCTAGTTCAATTTTTGCTTAAAAAACATTGCAAGATTTTTGAAACCTCTCTTCCTTGACCATTGCACCAAAAGTTACGCTTGTTTTAGCTTCTGTTCCGTCACACTTTACAAGACATTTTTCTCCATGTTCCAGCCCCAGTTTATATCTCCTTATTTTTATCTGATTTTTTTTTTTCTAATAATATCACCATCATTTTTCATTTTTTCATCTTCATTAGATTACTATGTTCTTGTTTCTAGATTGATAGTGATTGTGTGTGTAAATTGCAGCTCATTATTTATTTATCATGAATTTCTTTAATTTTGGTTTGTGTTAGGTTTAAATCTAAATTCCAAGTGTTTAGCTAGTGTTGATATTGACTCACTCTCTTGGCCCCTCTCGTAGTGGTGGGAGGTGTCTATTTATCAAAATATTATCTTTATTGCAACAGTGGAGGGGGTTTGACAACTGCCTAGCAAATGTCATGTATGAAGAATGTATAACACCTCATTTAGACGAGGTGTCTGTGCTTCATAGCTTGCTATAGTATTTTTATTCTTAGAGGCTACACGTCATTATGTGTGATGATAACTACTCCAAAAAAATGGCATTGTGGAAACTCTTTGATTAGATAATTGATTCTGATTTCTTGAATTTTATGCTGCATATAAGGTCTTGAATACACATCTCATCCATGCTAGTCAAAATTAATAGCACTTAAATTTTTTTATTACCATTTATCAAGGCTTTGGATCAGACACGAGGCCATTTTTTGCGTCTATCTTTGTGGGTGGGATAAGTAAGCTCCCTTTCTTTCCCTTGACCTCCATTAACCTGGTGAAGTTTTATAAACTAACTGTAAAGCTATGGTTGTTCTGGCTATTGAATTTGTACATCTATCACAAAAACTCTTGGCATTTTTTGACCATTTCACATATAATCCCAGTATTTATGTTTCATTGATATGTGATGAAGTCTTCGATCTAATTTGTGCATGTATGATTATGTACTTTTGTGTCTAATTTTTCATGTTTCTTTCTGAATTTGTCTCTAGATTATAAAAATGGACAGATCAACTGGCCGTAGTGGTGGTGGAAGTGTGGACATGTTTCTACCAAATTACAAGATGGGGAAAACACTTGGCATTGGGTCCTTTGGCAAGGTGAAAATTGCAGAGCATGTACTGACTGGTCATAAAGTTGCAATAAAGATCCTTAACCGCCACAAGATAAGAAACATGGAAATGGAAGAAAAAGGTCTGAATCATTTGCATACATATACTATTTACTGTTTATCTAACCATTGGACTTGATTTTAATTGTTTTCAGTCTTCTAATACTTTTCAGTCAAGTTATGTATATATGCTTGTGTATAGCTGCATTGCTATATCGTTAGTTTTAAAATTCTACATATATGATACCACTGTTTTAGTTGGATAATGTTGGAAATTTTCCTTACTTGTGGTCACCCATAGCCTGCCTTAAGTGCAGGCAATTAGGGTTGGTTGAAATCTTTGAAGCTTGAGTAAAATGTTGTAGTGCGTAGCTGTCCGGACGTTGACTCTTAGGGGGTTAAGACTTAAATAAGCTATCTATATTTATTTTTACCTTCAATTTGTTGCATATAAGAAGCCCGGGGATTGATAGCTGAATGACTTTAATTATAGTTTTCACATTTTGCATGTTTGCTACTGGTAACTGGCAAATGATTAAACATGTTTATTAGTTGTAATATGTTTTCCTCTCCACATTGTTGCAGTTAGAAGGGAAATCAAAATTTTAAGATTGTTTATGCATCATCACATAATACGACTTTATGAGGTCATAGAAACCCCGACAGACATATATGTTGTTATGGAGTATGTGAAGTCTGGAGAGCTCTTCGATTACATAGTAGAGAAAGGTCGGTTGCAAGAGGATGAAGCCCGCCATTTTTTTCAGCAGGTATAATTTGTAATATTTTCATGTACTTCAGAAATTTGTGCTTGTCACAGATTATTTATCTAAATTGTATTATGATACTATGGAAGCAGATAATTTCTGGTGTGGAGTACTGTCACAGGAATATGGTGGTTCATAGAGACCTGAAGCCTGAGAATTTACTTTTGGACTCCAAATTTAATATAAAGATTGCTGATTTTGGCTTGAGCAACATCATGCGTGATGGGCACTTTCTTAAGACAAGTTGTGGAAGTCCTAACTATGCGGCTCCAGAGGTTTGCAAATAATTGGGTTGTAATTGAATAGGATATTAATATTATTACTGCACTACTATTTCTGGGAATTTACATTTACCTCCTTTTCTGATTAATGTATCAAAGGATAAGCTGTTGTTTTTCACAGGTTATCTCTGGGAAATTGTATGCTGGACCTGAAGTAGATGTCTGGAGCTGTGGTGTAATTTTATATGCTCTTCTCTGTGGCACTCTTCCTTTTGATGATGAAAACATTCCCAATCTCTTCAAAAAAATAAAGGTAATATTGTTTTCAATTTTCCTTTTTCTGTATCTGGGTTTCAAAAGACTGAGTCAGATTTCCTGCACTGTCATGTCAAGTGATCACTGGGTTTTGAGCTTAGCATTGTAGCTGAAGGAGATTATGACAAATCTAGAGTGGCTTAATACATGTTAGGTCAATACTTATTATATCTTTAAATGTTTTTTTTAAAGGAGGGTTATTGTTATTCCTCCCATGTTGCAAAAATAAGTTGGTTGTAAGTAACACTGCTGTGTATAAAAGACTACATATAAAATCAGTTAATATCTTTATGATCCTTAACAAAAGCATTATTAACCTTAAAGAGCAAATAATTATAGATGACCCATTAAACAAGTATTATATTATTTAGTCCAATCTTATATGTTAAAATGTGATGATGATTTTGGATTTACCCATTGCACATTCCTACAAGCAATGATGTTATCTGTAAACAGATTTAGTTTTGCTTCTGATGCTTACTTCACTGATTACTATTTCTTATAGGGTGGGATATACACTCTTCCTAGTCATCTATCACCTGGTGCTAGAGATTTGATACCCAGGATGCTTGTGGTGGATCCCATGAAGAGAATGACTATACCTGAGATACGTCAACACCCATGGTTCCAAGTTCGTCTGCCACGTTATTTAGCAGTGCCACCGCCAGATACACTGCAACAAGCCAAAAAGGTATGGTTTTTACTTTTTTTCTGGGATTCACTTTTATTAATTTCTGTTCCATACTACAGAAAACTTAGATCTAAAGAAAAACAAAGAAAATTTAAATCTGAAAAATACTTATTCTGTTATTGCTTTTCTAATTTCTCAAGTGAGGGATACAATTGATATAATACAATCATGAAGCTTGTAAAGCTTCTCTGATGTGGGACTAAACTCAACAGAAATAACCACTTTGCTGATGTGGGACTAAACTAAACAAAATGTAACAGAAATAACCACTTTGCTAATGTGGAAATGTTAATCAGTTTTACAAAAAGAGATTTTATTCTATTACTCTATTGCATACACTAGTTCTCTTGTATATTTAATTCTACATGATTGTCCCTTGCCAAATATTGGTGGGAAAAACTGTATACTTTTGTAGTGTGTTTGGAACTATGCTGGTAGTAGTTGTTAAAGTCATTGATCCAGTGAGGTGAAATGACGTGTTTACTGAATCATATAAGCTGAGGCCGAAGAGTTCTTAGTTTCATTAGATTAGTCAATTTCATTTTGCTTTTGTAAATAACCTGTTAGAATAATTATTATATTAGTTTATTAGTTCAGATAGGTTAACTTATCTGACATAAATGCCATTTTACTGATTAGCTTCTAGCACCTAGGAATAGCCTTTTTAAATTGCACTCTTCGTAATTCAGATGTACTTTTTGCTATAAAAATATGAATCAGCAAAGAGGTTTTACGAATCTCTGAAGCCATTTTTCTCATTTTCAGTCTTAAGTGAACAACTTAACTACTATGATAATTATTGTAACATAACCTTCGGTTCGTGAAATTAGTCTGCTAGAGCTAAGCTTGCACCTCTTTCTGTTAATTGTGTGTTGTCTCAATGTACTACTTTTATATCAAAGTGCTTGGATACAAGCATTGAGCAGATTTACAAGCCATCTATTATTACTCCCAAGAACTGAAACCGGTGTATAAGTGTTATTCAATTGTAAATAACTAAGCCAAGGCTCTTTTAAGGTCACAACCATTGCCTTAGGGTCAAGAAAGCTATTCTCTATTCCTCTGTCAAAGGTAAAAACTTACAATTATTGCCTCACACCTGTTACCTATCTTTACTACTCTCCTAATGGAATTAGCAATTCAGCATCATTCCCTTTCCTTATGCCACTCCATTGCCTTTTGGAATGAAGTATTTGGATCACATGTTTCTTTGGGCAGTGTCCAAGTGCTGATTGTCCCAACTTCAGTTAACTAGGGAAACTGAATACTTTAATTATGCTTTCTTCCGTATAAATTGAATAGATATGTTGTAATCTAAGCACATAAAATTCATGATATGCTTGGACGACTTTCCTCTATCTCCCTACCAAAATTGAGGCCTTTGGTTCCATTACTATTGTCGCACACATGGGTAATTCTTTTGTTGGTATGTCTCACGTTTTGCAAAGTCATAATACAATTGAATATCTGTCTCCACATTTTCAGACCTTTACGATGTCTCATGGTGTGTTGCATCAAACATCTTGTCCTCATGCCTCTGATAGAATGTGATTATTGAATGCAAAAGTAGACATCTTGATACCACACAAACCCTTTTTTTGCACTCTCGTGATCCTCATTGGGTGATGTAACACTTATACATGTTATCTCATGAACCACATGCCCTCCTCCATTCTAAAAGGTAAAATCACTTACCAAGTTCTATATCCTCGCCACTCTCTTCACCCTATATCACCTTTGATCTTTGGTTCTATGTGTTTTTCTCATGCTGTTGGGGATGACATTGCCAAACACTCTTCTATATGTGTGTTTTCCTCACAGATCTAAGATTAGGGATAATAAAATGGGTTTGTATGTCTCATTTTGACCTGTCCCGCCTCTAGCCCACCAAAAATGGGGCGAGACAAGTTGGCCTATCATAGTCAGAACAGGCTAAACACCCCAACCCATCCCGCCAAAGGGTGGATTGATAGACTATCAGCCTAACCCGCCAATATTTTTTTATATGTTTTTATTTAAAAATATACCTTTAATTATATGAATAATTTTTTAAATTTTTGTGTATGAATTAATGTTTTTATCAAATAAATTTGTTAAGGTTCTAACATAAAGCCAATTGGCTATATGTGGAGTAGCTTAACAGGTTTTTAAACCATGTATTTAAACCATACCACATGACATGAGGTAGGCGATGCGATGTGGGACTTCCAACACGCCCCCTCCAATGAAGCATGCCGGGCCAGACAAAGGATACTTTTGACCCACAACGAAATAACAACTTTTGGCCCAAGACAAAAATCGGGAAGAAGTTAGGCTTTAGCTTTGATACCATGTTAAGGTTCTAACATAAAACCAACTGGCTATATGTGGAGTAGCCTAACAGATTTTTAAACCATGTATTTAAACCATAGCACATAACATGAGGCAGACGATGTAAGACTTCCACCAAAATTGTAAAAAATATTATATTTGTTTGTTAAAATAATTAATTATAATCAATAAATTAAACTTAATTGGTTAATATTTACAATTTAAATTATAGTATTATAATATATTTACATATTTCAAAAACATGACACAAAAAAATGTAATATTTTTAATTATAATCTGTTGTATTTTTATTTTAATATATAAATATTTTTTTAAAGCGGACCACCCTGTCCTATCCTACCCATCAGCCCGTCAACTTGGCGGGTTAGTCAGGAAAGGCCAAAACATGTTGTCGGGCTAAAACTATTAACCTGTTTCACCATTTTTCAGATGGGTTGGTGGGTCAACCCGTCTGGCATTGCCTGTTTTGTCATCCCTACCTAAGATGTTAAAAAGGTACAAGTGTTATTCACCTACACTTTGTAGGTATTTCATCTTTGCTAATGTGACTTTCTTCAAAATCGTTCCACTTTTGGGACTTACTACATGTTATCTCATGAACCACAAGCCCTCCTCCATTATGAAAGGTAAAATCACTTACCGAGTTCTATATCCTCACCACTCTCTTCATCCTTTATTGCCTTCGGTCTTTGGTTCTATGTGGTTTGCTCATGCCCTTAGTATTGACATTGACCAACTCTCCTTTTTCTCATAAGTGTGCTTTCCTCATATATCCAAGATCTCAAAAAGGTAATAGTGTTATTTACCTACTCTATAATGGTACTTGGGACCTCGTTGCTCTACCACTAGGGAAGTTTGTTGTTGGTTGTCAATGGGAGTACATAGTCAAGGTTTGTCTGGATGACAAAGTGATTGACTTAAGGCTCATCTTGGTTCCAAAGGCTATATTGACATCATCAACATGAATTATGGGGATACTTTCTCTTTGGTTTCCAAAATGCATTTTGTACGACTATTCCTATTCATTGCAGTCATTTGTCGTTGGCCTCTCTATCAATTGCACATAAAGAATGTCTTTCTACATTGTGATCTACTCGAGAAAGTCTGAGTAACCTCCTTTTATTTGTTGCTTAGGAGGAGTTTTTTATTCTTGTATGTGGATTGCAAAATTATTTATATGGCCTCAAACAATCACTCAAATAATGGTTTGGTAGATTTAGTATTGTGATTCAATAATTTGGTATGACCTGGAGCAAGGTTTATCATTTTGTCTTTATCATCACTCACCTACTGGTTGTATCTATCTAGTTGTTTATGACATTGTGTCACGAGAAGTGATCATTTTGGTATCACACAGGTAGCATAGTCCAAAAATAAAATGATCATATCCTAAAGGAAATATGCAATGAATATTTTGGAAAAAATGGGAATGTTAAGTTCTAGGACAATCAACACCTCGAAAGCTCCTAATGTCAAAAATTCAAGGGGAGCCTCTTATAGATCCTAAAAGGTACAAATGATTGGTAGGAAAATTGAACTACCTTACTATTATTACCTATCTGGTTATCTCTTTCGTAGTCAATGTAGTAAGTCAGTTCCTTAACTCTCCATATAAGGACTCAATCACATGGATTGTTCAATACATTGAAGGAGCTCCCAAAAAAGGTCTTTTGTATGAAGACAATGGACACTACTATTGAGTAGGCTCTCCTATTCATAGAAGGTCCCTCTCTAGTTTTTGTATATTTGTCAAAGATGATTTTATCTCTTAGCAAAGTAAAAAACAAAGTGTTGTAGCTAGCTCCAATGCGGAGGCGGAGTTTCGAGCTATGATTGTAGTCAATTAGGAGCTTATATGGCTCCAACAATTGCTTTTGGAACTAAAGTTTGAGGAGGTTACACAATTATCATTTATGTGTGATAATTAGGCCACCATACATGTTGGCTCAAATCCAATATTCCATGAAAGGACAAAGCATATTGAGTAATTTTTGGGGAAATATCTACTAGCTTTGTCGGTTCTCATGATCAATTTGTATATATATTTACTAAATCACTAAGGGGTCCTCAAATTAACTTCATATGTAATAAGCTTGGTGCATATTACCTGTATGTTCCAACAAGAGGGAGAGTGATAAAATCCTTTATATATATTTTAGAATCCTACATTATGATATTAGGATCAATTAGATTGATTCTATATTTATGTTATTAGCCTACAATAGGGAAACTGAATATTTTACGTAATTATGCTCTCTTCCCTATAAATTGAATAGTACCATTGTGTTCTATACAATCAGAATTCATCATATGCCTTCTCAGTTTCTCTCTTCTCAATAGTTATTATCAATAAAAAATAAAGGAAACCAACGACTACATGATTTTGTAGATTGACGAGGAGATTCTTCAGGAAGTGATAAATATGGGATTTGACAGGAATCAATTGGTTGAATCTCTTGCGAACAGGATACAAAATGAGGTTTGTGATCTTGATTTTCACCTTAAGTGTGCATGCCAAATTATCTCTTATCTCTGTCTATGAATTTCAGGGTACTGTAACATACTATTTGTTATTGGACAACCGGTTCCGTGTGTCTAGTGGTTATCTTGGAGCTGAATTTCAAGAGACGATGGTGGGTTTGTTTTTCCTTTAACTGTGTAAGATGTCGTTAGTTGTTTGTCATTAGTGAAGTGCTTTAGTCATTTAATTTATCTGACAGTTAATACACGTTTTTAGTTTGTTTGTAGATTATATCCCTCATTAGAGCTGACTTACGAGTAACCATGTGATTGAATTTATCTTTCTAGCCTGAACATAGTTCTTTATAGAGTTTGTAATGTAACCATGAATTTGTAGGTTTTCTACTCTTTGAGATTACATTTGTGTCTTTTTAAAACAGGATAGACTTATTAGTTTTTCTTTCATATTATGACTGCATAGGATTCTGGTTTCAACCGTATCCATTCCAGTGAAGTTGCTTCTCCAGTTGTTGGACACCACAGCACAGGGTATATGGATTATCAGGGAGTAGGAATGCGGCAACAGTTCCCTGCTGAGAGAAAATGGGCCCTTGGGCTTCAGGTGCAGTATTTTACTTATTGGCTGTTTCATACTGGACCTGATTCAATAACCTTTTTTTTTTTCATGCTTAGTCTTTTTAATTTATATACTTTCACCATGATGATTCCTTTCCGTTTAATGAAATAATTATGTCAATTGTCTTGAACTGGTTGCATCTACAGAGGCATCAAATTTGTTGATTGAAGGTGTTAGTATGCAGCTTGTTTGTAAATTGTCATTTTTAACAAGTTCTAGCAACACACTCTTTCTATGACATTCTCTATTATTAGTTTAAGTTTATTGGAAATTACAAAATCGTGAGTCATATCAAATAAAAAGTGAAACTCAAATCTTGTCACTTTCAGTAAATTTCAATCAATAATAGGGCGTTCTACTATGTTGCTAGCATTCTCCATTATTACTAGTTGCTATCAGACATATTAGTACTTGCTTGGTTTTGTGACTGAGGTCTTTGTTGGTTATGTTTGTTAACTTGTGAAAGTCTCGAGCCCAGCCACGTGAAATAATGACCGAGGTCCTTAAAGCTCTGCAAGAATTAAATGTTTGTTGGAAGAAGATTGGACACTATAACATGAAGTGCAGATGGGTTGCTAGCATTCCTGGTCAACATGAAGGAATGATTAACAATTCTGTGCATAGTAATCATTACTTTGCAAATGATTCCAGCATTATTGAAGATGAGGCTGTTTCTAAGTCAAATGTGGTCAAGTTCGAAGTGCAGGTAAGTATCTTGATAACCATACTATCTACTGTCCTTGGATTTAAATTATAAGTTTAATTACAAGGTTGGTAGTATCTTTTTCATTGTTTTTAAGAGCCACAGTTCCGGATCTTCCAACTATTTCCCTTCATACCACCTTTTTTTTTTTCTTATTAGAAAATTAGAGTTGTTCTTTGGGTGTGCAATATAATAATCCTTTCATTGCAATGACTAGTATGCTAGTAATCCATAATTTGGTGAGTGAGATTCTCTTGTATGACTTATTCTTCAGTCGTTATTGGGTAGTACTATTGTTAGTTGTACTTGAACATTCTCAAACTCGTGTTAATTTCTTTGACAGCTTTACAAAACTCGTGATGAGAAGTATCTACTTGATCTTCAAAGGGTCCAGGGCCCCCAGTTTCTTTTCTTGGATCTTTGTGCTGCTTTCCTTTCACAGCTTCGTGTTCTCTAGTGTAAAGCTCACAAGTCACAAAGGAGACGTTGAGGTGTCTTGTGTTGCATGTGAATAAGCTTACATTGTACATACCAGTGCCCTTTCAGTATGGGTATCTGTTGGTACTTTTCAGCATACCCCCAGTTTTTATGGGTTATCATGATTGAGGCAACCTACATATGGCATTTGCTTCCTGAATCATGGTGTCTGGCTAGGTCTGTCTTTTTACCAGTGCATTTAATTTTCTCTATCCTTTGAAATTCCCGAGACTTTTATGGAAGCATTCGCCTCCAACAAAGACATCTGTTTATGGTTTGAACCTAGTGTTGTAATTGACTGCTTATGTCTGTTGCTTGGAAGCCGAGGGGTTGTTTGCCTAGGCTGCATCGAACTTGAGCTTGCAGATAAGCATTTTCTCCCCGCTTCCCTACTCCATTACTGCTCCTTTTATGGATGCACCTTATTTGACAAGTCATAGTTTATGTATTTTTAGAATCTATGGAAAACATATTTTTCGGGCAGTCTTAGTTAGTTATGATTAATGACGCTGCTTGATCCTTGTGTTATGTATTGCTATGTTAATTATCCTTTTCCAAACCGTTACTCTCTTTTCTACCTTCATGTCGAGTTGCATTTCCATGTTAGTGAGACATGTTAGAAATGAATTAGGATGAACATTTTTACAAGTAATTTAGCCTCAAGACAATGATTAAGGATTTAAAGCAGAAAGTTATAATAAAATATTATTATTAATCTATATTCTGATTTTCAGCGCGTCATTATCTGTGATTTTCTACATATTTTATTTATTGATTCATTAACTAATGGTTTTATTTTATGCATAATAACTAATGTTTAAAACATTTGTCAATAGTCATGAACTAAATGCAGGGTAGCTAGGCTTGCCTTGAGGCCAGTTTGGGGCTTTACAATATTAGTCCAAATATGTTCACGTGGTGAGTGAGCGATGACATGTTTTATATGGTTTTCCATGGATTTGTTATGTAATGTGTTGTTTGACACAGGAGTGGATGCTAGTTACTTCTGTATAGAATTCCATTGAAAATTCTTCGAATAATGTAGTATGGCACTACTTTTTAGTTGAGTTTTGTTTTATAGATCGTGGTTCTTTAGTTTTATTGACTTGTATTGCCTTGCAGCCTCAATTTGAATCCACCGTTCCAAGATGAGTGCGTGATATTGAGTTTTGTTTTCCGATTCTTAGTTTAATTTAAATATGCTTGTTCTTGAACCATAGCAATGCTTTTTAAAGGTCAATGTTTCAAGTACTCTCAAATATGGTTAAGTGTGCCAAATGGGTAGTATTGGTGTTTTGAACCTTTTGAAATGATAGAATGTTTCCTTTGTCGCCATTTCTCGTGCATTTTGACTTAGTTTTACTACATTTAGTGTTTTGCAGAAGGATTTTATTATTTTTAGGTATTTAGAATGAATGAAAATGTATTTACTTTAATTAACTTTCTTTGATCTTTAAAATGGTTTTATTTGAATTAATTGATTTAAATTTGCTATTTAGATAAAGTAATTTAATTTTAATCACAAATATATTTCAAGTTAACAAGTATTTTTGAAATACAAATTTAATATGAATTTGATATCTAATATAATAATTATATATATAATAGATTCTAATATAATTCTTTAAAATTCTTTTATTTAATGTCTAGGAACTAAATGTTGTATTTTAATTGATTCTTTGAATCTCGACAAGTGATTATTTGAAATTCTTTAAGTTTGCTTAAAGAACCAATAAATTCCTACAGTTTCATAAAAAATATATTTTGATGAATAATATTTTAAATTAATTTAAAATGAAAAAAATGCAAAAAACTATAGTTGTAAATTTGCATTGTTTTTAAACGGCTGAAATGCAAAAAAAAAAAAAAAATTGTTTCAAATTTTGCTCCCATAGTATTAAATCCCCACTACCACTAATAAAAAACTATGTATTGACCATGTATAAAATTTTTAACTGTTATCTAATGGAAATGCGTTTCATGAATATTTATTTTTACAATAACTATATGTGATTAAATAACATTATAAAACTGTTTTGCACCATAATACATAGTCATGAACCTCTTTATTTTTTATAATGGATTCCAATAAACCCGTAACATTTTGCAAATAACGTCTTAGTGAAAACTGCTTTCAACATTTGGCAAATTGTCTCTCTACCCAAATTCTATTGTCCTTTTCTTCTTAGTGTCCCAAATCTTTCGATTATTATTTAACGTGGATGAGAACTTGAGCCCCTGGTATTAATGGACGAGGAGAATAGATAGAATAATTATTTTTATTTATTTTTAAACATTGGTAGATTCCCGAATTTATTGTCAAAACTAAATCGAAATCAACTAATAGAGTAAAAAAGTTAGTTGTTTGGTGAATAAATAATGATAATTGTGGTTATGTTAAACATAAGGTTGATTTGAAATTTCATTTTTTTTATAGGACTTAAAATTTTGATTAGGTTATTTAATTTAAATGTAAACCTAATTCAATCAAGACAAAAATAAGTGATTGAAAACTGGATCAACTGAACTATATAATACAGTAAATAAATTTTAACATTAGGTATAGATAAAATGTAGAACAAAAGAAATATAAAACTTAAATTAAGCTATATTTTATAATAGATATTTTAAAATAAATAACATAATTAGATAAAAAAATTAATAAATGAATTTTTTTATTACTAATACAAATTGTTTCAAAAGCATGTTTTTAAGAACATATAAATATCCATTAACTATTAAGCTTCACTTATAAAATATTTCATAAAATTCATTTGTTTAACTGAAAAAAGAAACAATAAAAATTAAGCTCAAATGTAAAAGTGAAGTGATTTTAAACTATGAATTTAATATAGAGTAAAACTATTGAAAGAAATTGATTTTTATAAAAGAAAAAGGGAGAAAAAGTTATTTCAAACTAAATTACTTTTAAAAAATAAATTGCATATCTTTAACATCCATTTCTCTTCGATTCAGAAACTAGTCCAGGAGGCGTAAGCAAAACTTCATATTCAATGTCAATACTAGCTTCTGTTACAGGTTCAAATCAATGTTACTCATTGATACAAAAAATTATGAATGAAATAAGAAACTATAAATAATTTCAATTTGCGGAAGATATTACTTCGTGCTTACTACAAAGTCTAATGTTACAAAATATAATTGTGCTCAGCATAAACAATGTAACATAAAAGGAATGATACTGCTAATTGAATGAACCGTTTTCTAGCAAGTTAACAAAGCAAATTGGAGGAAGATCTAGTGAATTCCACAGTAACAGTTCGGCATCAACACTTGAAGAATCCATGTCAGTTGATGTTTGTTGATGGTGTTCTTCCTGTTTCCTATCCACTGCTTCCATGTACTCTTTCTCCTCCTCATTCTCATTCTTCTCAAGTTTGTTTCTGCTACAAGCCATTTGGAGGCTGGTTAATTGATCAGTTAGTCCTCTTCCCTTCATGTTTCCTGATTCAAGTTTCAACTTCAGGCATTCAGGTATTCCATTGAAGGCATAGAGAGAGGCTGAGAACTTCCTCTCATATGTCATTCTCTTCATAACGGCTCTGAGCATTGAAGGCTCATCACCACCATAGTTCTCTGGCTCCACAGGCTCCTCCATCTCTCCAGCCATCTCAAAAGGAGAATAGTAACTAGGAGGAGCAATGTTGTCTAGAAACCTAAAATCATGGACATCCAAATTAGTGCTTTGGACACCCAAATCAGTTCCTTCTTCTTCACTGTCCTCCACTCCTGAATTGCTGTCATTACTTGGAGTCTGTGGTGTCACAATGCTGGTTTTGTATTGCACATCCATTTCTATGCCCTCCTCATCTTTTTCAGTCAAACATGATTCGAAACTACTAGTAATATAGTCGATTTGTGCACTGTTGTTGATGAATTCATTGTTGCCTGTGCTATAGTCTTCAGGGTCATTGAGGAAATCAGTGAATTGGTCAATTGAGAATTGTGTTGTTCCATCACCATACACATCAACTTCTTGTTGCATATGTTGGTGGTTGATGAGAAGTGATGTGGAGGAGGAGGAGGAGGAGGAAGAGGAACAAGTGTTGTTGTTTCTTTCTTTAAGCCTTTGAAGGAGGAGATTTGTGATCTTTGAGGAAAGAGCTGGACTTGTGGAGGGTTGAGAACATGGCCAGAAGTTTGTCCTTGTGTTTGCACCTCGAAGCAAACAAGCAGCCTCATCATAGGCTCTTGCAGCTTCCTCAGCAGTGTCAAAAGTCCCCAACCACACTCTAATCTTCTGAATGGTATCTTTGATCTCAGCCACCCATCTACCTGATGGCCTTTGCCTCACTCCAACAAACCTCTTCCTGGCTCTTTGAACTCCTCCGAGTGCTGCAGCTTGTTTCATCATCTCATCCCAAGCCATGGTTCCCTCACATAGGTTTCTCTCTTCCACTACTCCACCAACCTTTCTCTTCCTTGCCATCTACCCCTTTTGAGCTTTCCTTTTTCTTTAACTGGTTAGGATTATAGGGTGATTCTTTGATGTTACTAACTACTAAGATTGCTTGGTTTGGTGTGCTTTGGTTAAGCTTGTATTTAAGGGTGAGTGTCAAAAGGCACTGAAGTTTGGTTTCTATGCTTTGCCATAGCTGGTTTGTGGTTTTATATGTGAGCAAGTGAGTGACCCTTTGAACTAGTTGAGTTTTAGATCTGACCAGGTCACACTGGTTGGTTTCATATATTTGTTTCTTTATAATTTCGGCTTCTATATCCAAACATTTGGCGGTTTCTCTGGCATTGTAATTGGTGAAGATTGTTTGACTTGGACAATGGGCAAATAGATTTCTATTCTGTGATCTTATTTGAAAACTTCATATTCTATGACACAGTGTAAGCCTAAATTGGTCATTACCACTTCATATAATCTTTCCATGTGATCCAAAGCTACAAACCAAAGTAGTGTGATCCTCGCCACTTTGTCCAAGGCAAGAAGTGAAATGTGAGACAGAAGGCTCCACATCAGTTGTCAAGAGAGACACCATGAAAAACAACCTGAGTAGCCAAAACCTCTCTGTGCTTGTACAGTAGGAACTCCACTATTTTACAAGCTGCAGTTGATATTTGGATTTTATCAACTTTTTCTATCCATCCATTCATGTATGTTTGGTGTAGGTAATAGAATGAGAGTAAAAAATAAAAGCATAACATAGATATGATAAGTATAGACAGTACTATTACCCTTTGGTTTATGAAATCAAGGTTAAGGTTAGCATATACTTTTTATCGTTAATTATCTTAATCCAAGTAACCCGGTGATATCTTTTTGATGAAATGAAGATTTACTATGGTAAGAGAAGTCTCTTTCATCTGAAAACAAGGAGCCTGACATTATCCTGAATCAATCATAAAAACACAAAAAAGTTAACTAATGTTTTGTGTTCGTCATTGCTGATGAGTGTCAATAAATGCGATTCCCCCAATGCCCCACCATGAACATCATGCCAAGCTAACCCACTTGAAAACTTTAAAAAATGAAAAAGAATGTGTTTTTCTTCAAAAACTTTTTGTAATGTCGTCATCAAGCATTGATTGATGAATTATTTTGTGATGATCAAATATTTTAAAGTGCAAAGCTTTTATGGGATTTTCGTCATGCAGCCACTGCAGATGGTGACATTTCTGGACCAACCTAGGAATCATCTTCCTCTCAAATATTATCGATTGATGCTCATAACATATAACCATGCATCACATGCAATTCAAGTGAAAACCTAATCCTAATTCCAACAATGCATTTCCTTAATACTTATTTAAAACCCATTTTACCCTTTAAAACTTTTATATAATTATAATGAGACATGTTTGTTTATGTTGCCAAATAATAATTTTGAAACAATTTTTATAAAAAAAATACAAATTTATCATACATAGTTCGTCATGTAATTAAATATCAATATAATTTAAAAAACAAATCTCTAATTGGTTAAAGAAATAAAAAACTTTTGAATTTAAAATGTATCAAAACAAAACTCTTAAAATTTTCAGATTTTTATTAAACTTGACAATAATTTTTTTCTTCTCCATTTGGGTTCATTTCTTTTGCTTTGACTTTCTAGGAATCTTGCATTGTCTTGATAAGAACAAACACGAAACGTTGAAGAAAAATGCTTATAGTCTTATAATAATGATAATTAGTTAATTAATTAGTTAATTAAAATGAATGATGGTGACTTATGAGAACACGCTGTGCCGTTACTTGAAATCACACGCAAACAAATTAAAAAAATAAAATAAAATGACGTGAAGATGAGACAAATTTGGCCTTTTCCCTGTTTACCAATTTTTGTTTTATTTTATCATCACATTGATATTAACTAATAATATATTTGATTAAAAAAATAATAATATTAATATCATTGCTTCCTATAAGCATTTTAATTCTTAAGCCATTACATACAACTTCCTACAATATTTAAATTCATACAAAGAAGAAAAATTTTCTAAGAACAAGTTTTAGAGTTTTATCTTTCAATGAAAAAAAAAAAAAAAAAAAAAGTAGCATCCGGCATAATTGGAAGAATTTGTCTAACAAATATTTTGCCACATATTTGATTTGGTTTAGAATTTCAAGATAGTGATTTGACAAATTCACATAATATTAATTTAATAAATTTCAATTAATAGGAGAGCTTAGGTGTTAATGGTGATTTGGAAATTTTTAATATCTAAAAAAAGTAGTGAAAAATATTGTGTGATTCTTATTTTAAAGTTTAAATTTTGAGTCATTTATAAAAAAAATGTTTAATGTTAGTTTTTTGGAATGAAAATTGATGGAAGATAAATATAAACACTTTTATTTATAGTAAAGTAATTATGGAAGATTTTATTAATCAATTTAAAACTTAATGGAAGTTCATATAAAACAAATTATGTATAAATTATACTGGAATGTATATAATAATAAAAAAAATCAATAAACGTAATAAAAACTTATTTAATAAAATAGATATAACATTTTATATTTTATCCTTCTTTATTTCTACCTTACATTACTATAAATAAATAAATAAATAAATTATAATTAAGGATATAACTAATAAGAGAATAATTAATATTCTCTTGAAATTTAAAAATAATAACAGTTGAATAAAAAAATTCAATGGATAAAGTAAAAAATAACCTATGCCCAAATTAAAAAGCACTTCATTGATGAAAAATATAAAAATACACTTTGTAAAATAAATAAATACCAATTTGTTTAAATTTTTTGCAGTGGTTAGACTTAGCTACATTCAGAAATTGTCTTAATAACATTAAGAAAAAGAAGCAAGCAATGTAGAAGTCAGAGGAAAAAACAAAGACATGAAAAAGAAAAAGAATGCATATAATTTAAGAATTTTGGTACGATCAAAAACCAAAGAATGAGACAAAGTCCTGAGAAAACAACAAATTGTGCCTTTTATGTCTTTTATTTGAGATTTCTATGATCAACCTTTGATTTTAACTACCATCACTTTCTTTCTCTCCCTCTGCATAATCATCCATAATGTTTTTATTTCATCACAAGTCTCCATCACCAAAAAAGTGTATATTACTCAGAAAATAATTCGATTAAATTTTCATATATTATTAATAAACTATTGCTAACAATTTTCTCAAGAGGAAACCTATTTTCTTCTCTCTCTTTTTTTTTACTTTTTTTTTAATTTTTGAAGATGAAGAACAAAACCAACATGCTTCATCTTGAAAACATAAATGACTAATTAAATTATTTAAATTGGTATTGTGATTTTTTTAGTGAATAAATTATCAAAATTTTTAATTTTAATTTTTATATAACTCATCTTGGCCTTATTATACTCCAGACCTACTTTCTTCTATTAATTTTCATATTCCTAATTTTAATTTATTTTTATGCATATTTATATTTAATTTAAATAACATTAATAATAATACATATTTTAAATTATAAAAAAATATTACTCATTCATATTAAATATTATGTTATGTTTTAATTTCAACAATATATATATATATATATATATATATATATCATAATATATTTTTTTATTTAATTGATTCTAATTATCAATAAAAAAAATTACACTAACCGGATCAATTTAAAAAAGTTGATTTTTAATCAATTTTTTATTTTATTTCTAGATGAGTTCGATTTTGATTACTCATACTAAAAAAATACCATTAAAAAATAATTGATTAAGAATTAATTTAATTAATTAAATGATGAAAATAAACATGTAAAAAATTGAATTTAACTAAAATTAAAAAAAAATCTAAAATCTAAAACAACTAAAATGACAAATAATATAAAAATTAGAGAGACCAAACCCTAAAAATTAAACTAAACGGTGACTTTATTCAAAGGAAGCGTCATTGACCAACCCCTCTTCTCCTTCTTCCACGTGGAAGCATTTTGAGGAATCAATTGTCTCCATTTTACCATAATTTTATTCAAACTTTGTCAAAATTGAGAGTTTAAGAAAATTGGTCATGCAATTCTATTATATATTTCACAAACAAAAATGTTCACGTTTCTCTGTAGTTGAAATCTGTAGAACAAAAGGTTTATTATATTAATATATGAGTTTTTTAAAAGAGAAAACAATAATAAATTTCATGATGATGTTCAGAAAGATACAAACCTGAACTTTTTGCTATTTATTAACGTTTTGATATTCTTTTTCAATTCTACCATTATTTTTCTCACTAAAACTCATTAGTTTGACTCATTATATAATTCACATATAATAAATAGTATGAAAATAGAGTAAAAATCCAAAAAGTAAATATTTTTTTCATTTTTTTCTCTAATAAAGATTCTTTATATGATTGAATGATTAATTGTAGAAAAATATTGTAACTTTAGAAGATCAAATTGAAATTTGATCTGAAAATATCCAAATTTCAGTAGTAATAGATGTGTTAAATAGTTGTTAGTAGTTTCAAAAGGTTTATTTTTCACTCTAAAATTTTCAATTTCAAGTGCTAAATATTTTTTGTCTCTATCAAATCAGCAAGTTTTGAACTATTTTGAATTATGGAGATGAAAAAACAAAATTTTTTATCTCAATTTTTTTTTTAATTTTTGATAACTTAAAATCTTAACATTGATTAGAATTTTTTTCATAAAAAATCTTAGTTTCATGTTTGTTATAATATCATATCTGATATAGATCCATTATGATAATATCATTACGATTTATTCTTACGATATTATTTACTTTAAAATTCTTTATGACAACTTCTTTGTAGTGATACCTGTCTTTTTCGTTCGATAATTTACAATCTTAATATTAATTAGAAAAAATTTCATTAAAGAATAATAGAGTCTTAGTCTCTATTCGTTATGATAATATTGTTAGAGTCTATTATTACATTTGAGGTGTTATCTTTTTTAAAACTCTAATTTATCATGATTTTATTTTTACGAAACATATCGATTAAAAAAATGAGGATATAAATAAATTATCATTAATCTCTCCTAAACTATAGTAGATTAATGAAAATATAAGAATAAAAACTATATAAAGTATTTGTTAATTTGAAATTTCAAAAAAGTCATTATTTTTTTAAGTAATTTTAATAATAAGTTAACAAATCATTTTATTCGACTGGAAAAAATAGTTTGAAATAAAAAATAAATATGTAATTTTAAAATTTAAGTCATTGGTGTTGCTAAATCAAATAAGATTATCTTAAAGACATATGTGATCTATGTTAACAAATTATTGATTTTTCTATTAATCGTTAAGCAAATAAATATTATTAGAAAATCTATATTTATATATAACATTAAATGAATTCACAAGCATCAATCACCAAAATAAGTGCATGAAATATGAAGAGTAAGAAAGTATTTAATTAATATTAGAACTCAACTTGCAAACAATTTTGATTCTTTTTCTTTTTATATTCTCATAGAAGAATCATTGGCAGCATAATATAGAATATGCTTCATCTTGCTTAACAATGAACAAAGAACATGAGAGATATGATTATATAAATTTGACTGGTGATTGTTTTCAGAACATGCCCTTCTGCCATGTGGAAATCAGAATTCACTTTTATGTATTTACAAGGCATTGAAAAAAAAATGAAAACCAATCCAAAACCAAAATTTTATTATTTTTTTATATTTACGTTTTTCAAAACTATTGATTCATATTTCAAATTAAAAACCCAACCAAATCATTTATTGTATGTAAATATAATATAATATATTTAAAATTAATTCTCAATTAATAAATCATTTATAAAAATTGTTATCTTTACAACATATTTAAGTAATATCAATTTTGGAGTATATTTTAATTTTAAAATCATTTAACTTATATATTAGAAAAATTGTGAATATAATTATAATTATAAAATTTTTTAATACTATAATTCTTTATTCCAGAAACTTTTATTATAAATTTTTAACTATTTTTTGTAAATAATATTTTATACATTTTTTTTAAAATTGATTAATAATTTAATAATATAAAAAATTATAAATCAATCTAAACCGAATCATAAATATTAAGTTTTTATTAAGTTAAAACTAAACTAAATGGTATTTAATTTTATCTTATTATTCTGAGTGCATCAATCAGTTCTGTTACACCAGGAATGGTAGTTATCACAAATAAACAAGGCCTTACACTCCTTACAAACACAAATGATCAATTCCAACAATTTACAAAGAACTCAACAGACATCAATGTACATACAACAAGGACAATGAAATAGACCAGTTAGCAGGTCAAAGGGAAAATACATTGCTTTGTATACAGTTTTAGCCAAGGCCAAAGGAATGTGCCTATGAACTATTCAGAAGTGGAGATCTGTGACTATCAGACCTATCAGAATACACCTTTGGCTTCAGAGCTGGATCATTGTATGCATTGGCCAACTCAGCATAAAATTCAGGCATATTATGCTCGTTTTGGTCTGCTCTGTCCTTCTTAATCAAACACTGTATATGGGAAGATATTCATTCACAAGAATACAGAAGGGGCAATAGAATGACAATAATTCAATAGAAAAACAGAATAAGCGGCAACAATGCCACTTTGAAGTAGAAAGAAATGCCAAAACAAAAATATGAGCATGTTTTGCATAGTACAGTGCAAAAGCTGCTCAGAAATTGTCAGGGTTAACATAATTGAAATGAAACCAAACCAGCAAGAAGATGAAACACCAATTGAAGTAACATGAGAACTAAGGTGAACTCAAACAACCAAACTAGGCCATTTCCCAGATGGTAATAGAATCAACACACTCAAGTTTTGATATCACCATTAGTTTCTTCACTTGTCACGAAGAGATCTTACTCAGAAAATTTAAAACAATTTCCATATCAGGATCATCGCCGAGTATGTTATTGTTCAGGCAAAATATCATAATTTTACAACTATGTCATATTCTGTCGGGATTAGGTTAAGGGTAGAGAAAAATGAAAAGAAAGTGAAAGGCAGTTAACATATACTGAACATTGATCTATATGTGGTTGTCATATAACATGATAGCTTAATACTCCAATTTGCATAAATAATTAAGAGCTACTTGTGTTGGATTAATTTCTTAACAAACGTTTATAGGAGAAGAAAATAAAATGAATCAAACTTCGTAAATAAGTTTAATAAACTTAATCTCACCTTTTTATAAGTTCTCTTATTTAACTTATTCCTAAAACCTATAAACTTAGTAAAGTTTGGTTTTCTTGCCCTGTAAAACCATAGCAGCAGCTGAAAACTCATCCAATTTTGGCCAAGGCCTAGCACCACTAGTACAATCCCAAATTAACTGACAACAGGACTAATAAGCTTTTTTAATAAGACTAATCAACTAATAGCCTTTGTAATTGTTCCAATATTCATTCATGTCTGGAACCAGCTTATCTGCATTCCGTGATTGTTACACGAAATAAATTTGCTGTTAATCAACTACTGAGTAGCTACCAGGAGACTGATAGAACTGGTTCAGAATCTAAAGGAAAGAATGAACTTTATTGATGAAACCTAAATCCCAATTTCTGAGTGGTGGCAGCCTTAGGCTAGGTTATAAGATACAAAATGAATAATCTCCCTGGATATTCAAGAGACCAAGACTCTCCGCACTTTCTAAGAGTCTAGAGATAGATTTATCTCTCAACCTCACTTCATATATATAGGTAAACTGCCTTATTCAAACTGAAATATTGTTTGAAACTACTAATGGGTAGCTAAGTAGCGTGGTGTAACTAAACTACTAACGGGATTTACCCAAGATAAACCGAATTTCACAACCACATAGCAAAAAAGATTTTCCCAAGAGAACTGCATTTCAACATGAGCCATTAATCATCACAATCATGAAGCAAATGTTTATTAGTGAGATCAAAATCCTCTGAAATTAACTTTTAGTGATGTCTCTCTATGTACAATGCCATATAATATATAATAATCACAACAATTTATGAGTAGTTAGAATGTGTATAGGTGACAATATCATATTCGAGAATCAGATAAATTATCATTAATCATCAACCATAAACATACCTCAGCAGGATACTCTTTGAAAATAGGGAAGAACCGTTTCTGGCAATACTCATTGAAGAGAAGTGTGAGAATTGGAAGAGGAAGAATCAATATGGATGCAAGAGGAAGCTTCTTCAAACCAAATATACCAATGCCTATTATATGCATCAGTATCAAAGAAAAAATTGTGGAGTTGTGCACTGTAGGCCAAAACTCTCCTCCAGTCTCAAACTTTGGCACATAAACTTTCAACAGCTGTCACCAAAAGATATTTAAGACATCACTAGAGTTACGTATAAAAAAAGTATCTACCAGTTGTTCATGACACGATAAAGTCCTAATTCCAAGTTTCATCTCTAAATGACCATAACTGACCCTTTTACACCTCTAAAAGTCATATCGATCAGAGAGTAACACAAATAAAATAAAATTGTTTTTATTTTAATTTTATGGGGGAACCCATACAGCAAATGGCAATATGATCACCAATTTTTCCTCCCTCCAGCGAGGATAGGGAGAGTTGTAAATAAAATGGTTGGTTAAAACACAAGGAACTGAGAACACTATCTTTTGGAAACTCTCACATTATGTGTCTCAATTTTTAGATTATGATGGACAACTTCACTTAATATCAATTTGTTTTGAGATGTACTTTGATATGATTTCAGAACCTATAATTCATCTAACTAAATTGCCTATTTTGATATATTCGCTTGTTCCGAAACTTGTGTTTTTGCGTCAGCAAAAGAGTAATTTAACCATTTATTTATGTAACCAGTCATGTATAAATCCAAGATGTTCTATTTAAACTTTTCCCATCACCCCCTTCCCAAAAGTATCCTCTCTTTTCTTTTTTCATTTTTAAGTGGGGTACTCCCAGCAAGCACTTTTCACAAACAGGTAATCTGATCTCCACTTGTCTTAGAAACACATCACATAAATGCATATTACACGTAAAAAAGGAACAGAAACGCATGTACTCTGAAGGGGAAAGAAGCAATTCGCAAACCTGGTTACGGAAAATGATGTATCCCAAACAAAAGTAGATCAAGAGAAATGGCAGTATCAGAGGAGCAAGGATGAAGTATGTTACACCAAGAAGACCAAAGAGACGAATCCTGGGAATTTCACTATGGTAAGGTATTGAGGGGGGATCAAAATCATCACTGCTGTTTCTACAAAACGTTCTGCTCATAAAATTCGAAAGAAGTGTAGTCAATCGAAAGAGTTCTGATGCTATAGTGGTCCATCCAGAAGTCACAACATATGCTATGAAGAAGGATGCCTGCACCAAATATAAAATATTAAAAAATGCACTTGGTGTCATCAAATTTGTGGAATAATATCTTATAATTATCATAATTATGTGATTTCCTGTAAAAGTTCTTTTGGAAATATATATACTAGAGGGTGAACATTGATTATAATTGATGATTAAATTCAATAGAATAATATTTTCTATCTTTCACAAGTTTCCCTAACAAGGAAGCTGGTCGCACTGCTTTATCAACACTATGTTAATGAACTGAACATGTGCATTATCAGATAGAAAAGAGAATTCATATCAATAATAGAATAGCAGATCAACCCAAAAGTTCAGAGCATGACAAATTTTCCTCATAGCATTTAAAAATTAAAGAACAGCTTGCCATCTCACTACAAAAGTCTTCCATCAATGGTCTTCCTCTAGCCATCAAATTCTATCAGTATCTCCAGTCATCGGTTTCCAGTCCCTTTACTGTTGTTACTATTTCACAGTGACATTTTCTAGCTTGTGCATCACTCTGTTTGTCTACATGCTCATTGTGTTGTCTCTCAATGGCCACGAGGGGTGCCTTATTCTTCAGTACTGTGTTCAAGTCTTATTTGTGAATCTCATGGTTTGTGGAGTCCTTTATGTTATAAGTTGTATTGTATTCTTTTGGCAAGTGTTTATTTTAATCAAGCTAAGGTTTGAAGTGGTGTGTTAAATATTATACTGTGTCAAGTTTCATTAGGTTGGGGCTTGTACTGTACTCGAACATGACCTATTATTACTATAAATAGGGTTAAAGGGTCAAACAGTCAGTTTTATGTATATCAATTACTCAGTCTTCTTAGTGAAATATGTTCGGTTTTCCCATTTCCATCTTATCCCAAAAACTTCAGCATCACTGGATTCCGCCATTTTGAAATAACTTATTAAAACCTGTTTTAAAATAGTGTCAAAATTCCAGGACAAAAAGATTAAGCAGCCAGATGCAACAATCTGCATGGTGCATATAAACTACAGATATGCATTTCTTAGAGAAAATGTCAGCTCTCAACCATCGAACTTAAAAATATTATGATAAAATGGTTTATCTGCTATACCTTACAAAGGTATCAATATCCTGTAGGATGCATACAGAAATTACATTAAACATCATTAGAGCTATGCTTTTAGGTATAGGCAAATATAAAAGCATAAAATGATTTACACTTAACAAACAAAACCACTGATAACTCAATTTCCCATTATATAATGGCGGGTAACTTTGTGAAATTCATGCAATTGTCTCATGGGGGTGACAACTAATAACTATTCTCACCTGGGATGGTACAGCTTCCGCTAGTATTCTGGGAATCTCTTTTGGCTCAAGAAAGACATTCACTCGATAGAGTGCTGACCCTGATAGTACATTTGCAAAGAAAATGTTCCAAACAGTAAACCATAATACTTTAGTGCATGCACTTTTTTGTATTTGACTCCATGAAATGTATCCTTGCATGGATGAAAGCATAATCATAATAGGTGGAACAAATGACAGAAACAACTGAAGAATCAAACTGGGAAGGTATCCTGTTATAACTTCGCTCACAACGGACCTGGAAACAAATATTGGAAAACTTCAGTAGAAAACCCATAACATTGAAATTGCAGAGCTAAAATAAACAATACTCTCTCAATCAATCACAAAGTCAACTGTTCAAGAAAAGAAGAAAATCATGCATTCCTAGAAAACCATATGATGCAGATTTGTGCACATATACTTCTTAGTAAGGATTTCTAAATAGGATTATAGGATAAAGTATGGAAGAAAAGATAAATGAGCCAATTCTCAAGGTAGTACGAATAATTTTGTTAAGTTAAATATACTTATGAGAACAGGAGCGACATGGGTTGAGTCATCAACCAATGCATAAAGATGATAACATATCAATAATCATTTTAATGAAAAACTTAAGCTGTTAAATGCAAGCCCATGAATTTTTATATCTTAACTTTCTCCAAATTTATCAAACCAATCGAAGGAAGCATGTAATTCTTCCCTTTCTTTTCCATTCTTTTCCTTTCAATGATAACCAGTCAAATTTCCCAATCTTATACAAAGCTTGCCTTAAACAAACAAGTAGCTACCAATGCATATCATGTCATTAAATGTATGTTTCCTAATTTTCACATTCCTTATAAAAATAAAATTTAACCTATTAGAGTATGTTATTTTCTATCTAAATTTCAAATGTAATTTTACAGTCTTGTGTATGTGTCCATGTTAGAATCCAACTACAAGGAATGAGTCCCACATTGGATTCTAGTGTGGAGCTTATAAGGCCTTGGGCCCTCAAACTACAATGTCTAGCTTTTGTGGTGTGGTTCACCTAAGGTTCTTGTCAGTCTATTGTGTACGTTACTTTTATGCTAAAAATAATCAAAACAGAACCTCTAATAATCTATCAATTTGTAATCTATACAAGCTTTAGCACAAATTGTGGCATTTCAGCTACTTGATTGACGTATATCTTACCAAATCATCCTTTTGAACTTGTGCCATGTCTTGGTTCAATCCTTATCTTTTTTAGAACAACAAAATGCATCTCTATACGTTAGGACAGAGAAGGAAAAACATGTTCAAAAACACTATTTTGGCTTTGAAATTATTATAATTAGAATGCAATTTTGAGTTTGCATGTTTTGTTAGGTTATATAATATTAAAAACAAAATATTTAGAGTAAATTACACTGACTTTGCTTGAATTATACTACAAATTTTTCAAAATTTTATGCACACTTCCCCTTTGTTTTAAAAACATTGCATTCTCACCCCTTTTTATATTACACATGCACCTGTTAAGTTTTAAAAACATTGCACTTTTGCATCCCCGGATAAGAGAGGCCATTGTAATGGTGAAAAAAACAAGGGGTTGTGAGTGTAATTAGAGAAAATATGAGGGGGTACCATGTAACATGCGGCTATTTGTTTGGTTCTATAATAATATTTCAAGAAGCCTTCATTTAAAGAGCAAAGAAGTGACAGAACCAAGAATCCTCCTAAAACAGAGAGAAACTAGGAAAAGGAATAACTAAAAGAGAAGAGCACCAACACGAGCTCTCCAATAACTCTGCATATGAGATGAAGAAACAGAACTGGAAAAAGAACCCACAAAGATTAATAAATCTATCCGAGAAGACTCGAATGAATTCTCATGTGCTAAAGGTAAATACACCACAGAGCAGCAAAGGGAGAATAATTCAATTACTAATAATCTATTTTTCTGCCAAAATCTCTAAAGTGAGCAGAAGGATAAACCTCTGACGAGTTAAGAATATATAGCAGACCGAAAGATCCACAAAAATCCTCAAACAATTCAGTACTCGTCCCACAACTGTCACATTATCTCAATTCAAAAACACATAAATTTGATCCTACAAAGCTTTCTACTCAATAATTGAAATACCCTCAGAAATCACAGCACGCATTGTGCCTCTAGCTTAACATGTTGTTAACTTCACCAGAGATAGCAATCTTTTCTGAACTAAAATAGTAGATGTTTATGCTTAATATTTGACTGAAATTGTAAATCATAGTATATGATTATTCAAAGGAAAGAAACTGCTAGCCAGTATGCATTTAAATAATTTCTCAGTCTGAAAAAGCAGGAAAGGAACAGAGAGCTACTAAATGGAGATTACTTAGAATGCAAAAATACAAAATTAATTCAAGAAAAAAGGCCCGAGAAAATAAAAGAAACATTGGCAACTAACATATATACCAGAGGTGAAATATGAAAAATACGTTAGCACATTAAAAATAAAAATGTAAACTATGAGATAAAATAATTGACCGAGTAATGAAAATATGAGTCTGTTTAAAAACACAAAAGAATTCAGTAATGTAAACTATATTCTAGTAATGAAGAGGAGAAAGCCAAATTTCAAAAGCTGGAAACACGCGCTTTATATTACTAAATCAAATGACATATAACCCAATATTTGTATGAAATAGAGAAGGAACTGCATGCAAGTGTACTGTATTATATAATGACTCCAATCATCCAATATATGCGCTTATAGAGAAGGATAAAATAAGGTAACATTCCTCACTTACAATCTTAGTATGTTTTTCAAAAAAGGGAACCACGTCTCCAATTGATCAAGATGGGTAAGACCTTGTACTATTGCAACTGGGATCAAAAACAGAACTGTGATAGAAGTACATGCAACAAAAACTACCACCTTGCTGATCCATCTTCTGAGGAATGAAACGGTAAAAAAAGCCCAATAAACATCATGAGGCTCAGGAACTTTCTCAGTAACCCATTCCGTAGGATTGACACTTTCTTGAATGCGTAAAGCTATTGCAGCTCCAAATCGTGTCTTAAAAGTAACAAAGGCAGCTCGAACTTCCTTTAAGTTGAAAGTGATTACAGAATAAGGGGATGTATTAGACATCACCAAAAGAACCATAAAAACCTAACTATGAAGAAATAATATCTATTGAAGGAAAAAATATCCATGAGCACAACACAACTTTATAAGATCCGAATCTAGTAATCAGCATATTGTTTAAAGGAGCTAGTTCTGTACTGCTGTTATTAACAAATTTTTTATTACATTAGTTAATCTGATAATAAATTTGTAGTTTATGTTTGGTGTTGAGTAATAAATGGCTATATTATGTTCTTTTATCTAACAAATCAAATGTTTTTAGTTCAGCACATAGTTAATGGTTGACAATTCTGGAAATACTTTCATTTGAATTTCTTTCCCATGCATATTTTCTTTCTCCAGTCTCATTTGAAATAGAGCTGATATATGAAGATGTAGTTCTACAAATATTTTGCTTCCTGCCACAACGAATTGTCATTATTAACCAGATTGCCAATAATGAACAAAACCAAATCTTAATGGCACAAGCCAATTTGGTGTAATGCAAATGATAATCCAAGCATTTCAGTTTGTATTAGACAAACTTGAGAGGAAACATAATTATTTTCTCAAAATTCTAGTAATGTAGGTTATTATGGCCTAGACAAGACAGTTATTAGTTACCTTTGCTTCTAGTGAGGACTGTTCCATTCTCACATTATCTTCTATATCACCCAACCTCCTTTCATAGTGATCTACAATATCAACTTTCCGGCCACAAATTCCCAAACACCCATCACGCCTTTGCCTTTTAGGAGCATCATTTTTTTGTTTCAGATTGGTAAGCTTTTTGTACAGTTTATCTGCATCATTCTTCAAACAAGAAACTTTAATAGTCAAAAGTGAGGGTCCTATTAGAAGAAAGAAGAATAAATTTGTTTAAAGTTCAACTTCAACACACATGAAGAAACATAATGCCTAAGTCACACAAATGCACCATCACTCCCCTCCCTCATAAAAGAGAGGCTAATTTACTGGAAGTAAAACAACCACTAGGGTAAAACAACACAAGAAAAAGGAACACGTTGTCTAATCTCCAGCATATTATTAGCAATTGAAATATTTTAAGAATAAGGCACATGTTGTCTAATCTCAAAAATATTGGGAAGAAGGTTATTTTATCTTTTTAAGGAACCTGTCAACTTCAAAGCTTTAGCTGTTATCTAATATATCAAGAATTGCTTTTAACCTGCAATACTTAATTTTCAATATTCAGTATGAAAAAACATTACACTGAAGGCAGTTATGCAAGGCATTAAGGATAATATGTTAAGATATAGATTTGTCACATATGCAATAAAATACAAAACAAGTAGGATGTACCTAAAAAAAGTGAAGTTGTATAAAATATGTAGTCGTTGGACCGTGAATCCACAAAATATTGTTTATTCTAACATGATAACAAGATACAAAAATTTATGAATGTTGTGCTATTATTTAATCAAACATGATGCGTTGGAATTTCCTATCCATGCATGTATGCTGGAGCAAAAGACCAATGTTTATAGGATAGGCTATTTTCATTGGACTCTGGGATTCAGCTCATGGGTTATCTTTCTCAGGGAATATCTTTGTCCAGGACTGGTTTGTTCTCAAGCGGCTGGTTTTTTCACTGATATCCTTCATTGTAATTCTTCTCTCTTAATGATTTCTTCTTTAACAAGGTAAAATATCAATGTCTCACACTAGACATGCAAGTACTTGTAAGATATACTCTTCCTTTCAAGGTGAGGCATTACATGCAAGTAATATACAGTGAAAGTTGAACAACTATTGAGAGAAAAAAAAATTGAACCAGTTGGAGCTCCTGAGAAAAGCTTACAAGAAGACTTTGAAGTTTGTTGTTTCGATGGATCACTGAATTTGAGAGATATGTAGAAGGGTGATACTCCAGGAAAAAACGCTCAACAGTATCATGACAGGTACTTCCAGGTGTAACAGGAATACCACTAACTAATATGGTAAACTGCTGAGGCTGAGGCTTGGATGAATAGAAATAGGCAATTCTTTTGGATGAAAGGTACAAATACTCCTGCATGTGGAATTAAAATTAAACATGATATTATATCTCTAACTTTATAAAAGAAGAGGAAAAATAAAAGCTAAATTGAGCCATAACACTTACACGAAAAAGAAGATAGCAAACAATTCCCGTGAAAATATATGCTGCACAAAAGTGAACCCATAACCTGGATAAAGCCCAAATGAACACATAAAATTTGTTGCCTTAAATGAGTAAATAAACTTGCATATGAAGAAATGGATTATTTAAAACCCCAACTTTACAAAGTAAATGTATAACAATGAAAATTTAGGCTTCTTAATCTAGTTAAAACTTCTTGTCCCACTCATGGGAGACAATGGAGAGATCTAATGGCAATTTGAACTTAAGACAAATACGTTATCTATTAAAAATATAACCACAAATAAGAACAAAATGTCAACTCTGAGAGAATATACAACAATCCAAAGTCATCGTATAAGACAATTTCATATAACTAAATAGAAATTGCCACCCCTAGGCAGGCCATTTAATATGAGAATGTGATACTATATCAACTTTCTTTGAGAATTGAAAATGAACGTAACAACCACAAATTATGCATGAGATTACATAAATCCTAACAGTTTTCAAATGTGTGGTTAATATAGGGGCTTTGACGGGCTATTTCTTTTGATGCATGAAAAAACTAAATTTTCATTCAGGCCTAGCTATTATCTATCGAGGAGAAGAAAAAAACAAAATTGAAAAAAAAAGATACATAAAAGTGAAAAAAAATTGTAATTTTGTTTAGAATGTTTAGTTGTCCATAAACATCAAGCTGATGGATAAGATTTCCTGAATAAATTTTGAATAGTACAAACTTTAAAGATAGAGTTTTACGCAATAAACAATCTCTTCCATGAAGTATGTAGGTAATACTACATAATGACTGAATTGAATCTATATAGTAGTTACAGTGTTGATAATAACCATAGAGGAACAATATTCCAAAAACCAATTTCATTTCTCACTATTATTTGTAGCACCGAGATCCAAATCCAGGCAAATCAGAAGATGCATCTAAAATGAGAGCATACTTGGATTTAATTAACTTAAAGATGACAAAAATGTCATCAGGTCTATATTTCATCAGTTTCATTCACCATAAGGTATTGCCAACTATTAATAAAAAACTAACTCCTCACACAATGAAACCGGGTCAACAATTGGAGAAAACAAAACTAACTTATATATCAATGTTTTATATATGTATTGTTCTGCCTCATCAATAACTAATAACTAACAGTTAAGACCATCTTGATCCATTACATTCACCTGTTTGAACCATTATTAACATTAGAAATACTGAACGAGTCCAAAGACTTGTGCTGAAAATCCGAATCATCACTAAGCTGACTCCCCGCATAATTAATTGGAAGAAGAACAAACATGCCAATAATTCCACCAACAGCAAATACTTTCAAACTGTACAATACAATAAAAAGAGAGAAAAGGATTAGCTGAAACAAATACAAATTTCTTTAATTAACCAGAACAAGGTCACAGAAAATAGAAAGAGTTGAACATATTTTACAATAATGAAGATAGAAATTGTAATGAAAAAATGATTGCTTTGGCAATAAGATAAACATTAGCTGCGACTTAAAGTAGTTGGTTGCATATAAATATGTTGTATCTTGAAAACATTATAATCTACTTATAACTATTAACTAGACATTCAATTATACAAGGAGCAAATCTTGGTCCCAATCAAGTGAAGAAAAAAAATGAACTAAGATAATTGAATTGAATATACAGACTTGTAAAACCAATAATAACATGATATAGAAAATCCTCTTCTGACACAGAAATCATCAATGTACATTTGCACATACATAAAAAAGTATATAAACTTAAGCTTTCATAGATCTTTGACACATGTAATGCAGGAATTTCCATCAAAATGATTAAAACCTCAAAATCCTAAGTTATCTAGTAGATTCCAGTTTGATAAGAAATGTCATGATACATCTTCAAACTTATAAACAATCAAATATTTTATGTCACCTAAAGATAAATATGCGCATGAAGACAAAAGCATCTAAGCCAGAACTTGATAAAAATTCTTCCTCTGAAGGCTCCCATGCCTGCTTCACCCAACCAGCAGTAGGTAACAATCTTTCCAAGTTAAACTGACCACCCTCTTTAACTTTTCCTTCAGCAACTAGGCGTGGTGCATAGACAGTGATATTACCAGGTTGCTTTCTCAATATGGAATACAGGGTGAAAAATAACAAACAGAGGCCAAGATTAATTCCCACAGAAGTTAAAAGGGCAGAAAGAATCATTGTTGAAACTTGGTTTGAAACCAGCAGCTTGACTTTTACACCCAGTAACAGCACTGTACGCTAGAAGAAATTAAACAAATTGAATCCATTCAGGGTTGAACCTGCAAGAATAATGTACCATGAATAGCTGGAACAGAATCAGCAAAAAGGTCCTTTTGTAATTAGTGTATAAATGATGTGCAAAATGCAAACTATTGACAATTTGGATATCCAACATAGCAACTAACCAAAAATCATATAAAAGGGCCACTACTTCAGCTACAGCATCTGGTAAAAATGACAAGTATGGTCCTACAAAATAGGTGAGTTTATAAGCAGAGGCGGAGAGAAGGGGTGGCATGGTGGAGTCATGGCCACCCCAAACTTTAGTAATTTTTTTTAGTACTATGAATAAAAAAAAAATATTGGTCCCCCATGATGTACTATCCCAGAATATGTTAACTTCTCTCTATTATATACTATTGAGTCACTTCCGTCAAATACAAAGCAACCCACTTTCTCAATTTTTTTATTAAAAAATAAATAAAAGACTCAGCTTGTTTGACAAGTTTGCTAGTTTCTCTCTCTTCAAAACAAAGAACACTTGTTTTGTTTCCTCTTTAGACTACAAAACTTTAATCTCTCACATTTCAAAACTCAACAAAGAAGGAACAAAAATCTTCTTCATTGATGGCTAAATGACACTTAAAAATTTACTAATCTTCTTTTAATCGATACATATTTATTAAGAATAATTTTGTTTAAAATTAAGAATGAATAAAAGTCTTAATCCGATCTATTCTTTAAATTCGGCTTCCCATTAACTAAAGTTTTGGCCCATGAAAATAAATTCCTACCTCCGCCCGCATGATGTAATTGAAAATTCCTCAATCTTATAAAATTAAACTCTCTATTACACTACTTTACTTGGTTGGATTAAAGCTGGGTGATGGACTCTTGCATAAAGTTTGTGAAGAATTGTGGTTGATATATTTCTTCCTGTCTACATTGTATTTCCTCTAAACAGCAAACATCAAAGGTATATTTTATTCTTCGCTGGTTCAAGTGCTCCTTGAATCTTAATGGTGGAGAAGTTTAAATCCAGGTTATTTTCTTACTTCATTTATCTGATAAATTTCTTTATGAACGGGTAGTAGGGTTTTGGCCTAGTGTTATTTTTAGCTTTGTAATCGTAAATTTCTCCTTTGGCCATTCATCCTTGAAAGGGCAGAGATTCACAAACCCCTGCGTATTCAAACTGCAACACTCACTAGATTAAAACAATGACCTATTGCAGTTTTGTAATGAGCTTCTCTTGATGTTATATTTGTTAGATTTCAGCTTAGTACTAATTGATGATAAGTAAAATGGTCCAACAAATATATAAGTCATACCTCGAGAATTAAGACAAACATGTGAAACTCCCTTCAACATCTCTTTGACAAGATGCCTACTACACTAGACGTGACTAAAAAAAGCTATAAGCTTTAATACCATGTCAGATTTCAGCTTAGTACCAATTTGCGATAAGTGAAATGACATAACAGACCCTGAGAACCATCATAGACTATGTAAAATCTACAATAATTCTCGAGGTACGGATATATCTATTACATCATTTCGCACAGTGTCAAGTTGAAATCTAACAATATTATGAGTTTTAGTATATTTAAAAAAGACTGCAAAAACATTGGAAACACTCCAAACATTTTTTGAAAGCCTTGAGCTTGTCCTGCAAACACTGAATAAAATTGTGCAGTAAAGAAATTTAGGGAAAAGCAGGACTTGGCACAATGATAAAATTATTTCCTTTGTGACATGGAAGTCATGAGTTCAAATCCTGGAAAGTCTCCCTGCTAGTAGGGATAAAGCTGTGCACATCTAGTTGAGGTGAGAGCCCCTCGTCCATTAGACCACCCTATTAAGTTTTCGGGAAAAAGAAACAGGCACAGGTCCTGCAGCAATGTGCTTGTTACCTGCTAATTGGTGTATTTGGTTGGATTTTTTCGAAAGTCTTTTGGGCTATTTTTGAATTGACAGAAAGAGACAACATGGACTTACACTAGTTGTCATTCTTTGAATAAACTAGGACAGGATGAAGTGGAATAGAATTTAACCCACCAGATTCAACTTAACAATGAAGATATAGAGCAGTTTGCATCAGGTCCTAGGTTTAATAAGTTGCTGTCAAAATTGTAACCTAGAAGAGTGGAATACAATCTGATTAAATGTATTCCATTTCATCCAATACCTCTAGTTTTCTTCCCAAGTATTTTAGATTCCAGTGAACATTATTTCAGGCTGCATGAATTGCGGTAGCTTCACTTTAATATAATCCACTGCACTGCTTCAGTTCAAATGCAACTATCATATTCCATGTATATACAAACTCACAAACACAATCCATCACTCGTAAGTGTAGAAAGTAAAAACAAAAACGACCCAGAAACCCTACTGCTTTGAGAATTCAAAGTGGAGCAAGCAAATTTGCGAATTCTATGTTCATACTAGCAAATAGAGAACTAAAGAGTTAGGGAGAGAGAGAGAACCTGGTAATGAAGCAAAAAGGAGCAACGTGCGTGTGCAGTGAGGTGGTGGGATGAAAGTAACAGGAAGCCACTGAACTCAACAACATGTCTTCGGTGTCACTCTTGAATTGAAAGCCAACGGACACGTGCAGCTACCTCGTTTATGTTTTCATGATTGGTTTTTCTTTCTTCTTTTTCTGTTTATACTTTATTCCATTTCCCATCTTCTAATGGCGTTTAACTCAAGAAAGTGATTAATGCTTGCACATTAAATATTATTTGTTTATTTGTTATGATTGCTATGCTAGTAATTAACTTTTTCTTAATACCATTATAATAATAATAATAATAATAACATGATATAATTCAATTTGTAGTTTTATTTTGAGAATTTATATTTTATTAAATGCATTAAGCATTAACACTCATGATGTAGTTTCCACACTCCTTTTAGGTTTTTTGTGTTGGTCAATTAATTTTATAAGGGACATGTAACTATTTGTTTTTAATAAGGGTGTGTTGTGTGTTAATTTATTAAATATAACATTTATGTGTTTTATTTCCTTTAAATATTTTATTAAATATAACGTTCATCCATTGAAAACCTTTCTTCATGGTTTTCATCTCCAATTTTTATTTATCAACAGGAGTTAAATCTTTGTTTCTACATCCCTTTGTATCAATCAGAACCCATTATTTGTGACCAATAGATAACCAAAATCAACATTTACTATGCTCATAGTAAAGGGTCAAGAAATTTTTTCACTGCCAAACCAAGAACAAATACAAAGATTGTAGAGATAAAACCAATTCTCCTTGCATTATTAATTATTATTAATAATAAAAATTAATAATTAGTTATTATTAGTTATAACTAATTATTTAAACATATAAATATAATTTTTTTAATTTATGTTATAAAAGTATTAATTAATAAATTAAAAATTATTATATAATTCTAATATATAAAATTATAAATCAACAACTAAAACCTCTAAGAATAGATGACATAGTTTTTTAAGTAATTTTAGGTTTTGTGTTGAATTTCAGTTGGATGTGATTTGTGGAAAGTCTTATTATAGTCATTAAAAGTGTAAGGATTTCACTTTAATAAAATATATTTTTATCATTTAACTTTAATAAAAAGTTGTTAGAAGAAATTATAAAAGTGAAAAAAAGAGTAAGTAAAAGATAAAGTGTTGCTGATAGTTATATATTCAATCTCATAACAACAAATAAAACAATTATTTTGTTTGACAAAAGAAGTTGGATATATAACAATTTACGTATTTGTTTAGACAAGATAATGAAAAGTGAAAGAGTGAAGAAGAAAAAATAATAATAACATTATGTTATGTGATATTATGTTGAGTTGAATAAGAAAATGTTAGTAGAAAGATATTCATGAATAATCATGAACTAATAAGATAATATGATATATTTAAAATATTTAAGATAATAAATTTATTTATTTATTTATAAGTTATTAAAATTCTTATTTTTAATGAGATTCCAATTTAGAAATAATGTGATTGATTTGTTTAAAAATAATTATTAAATAAATTTTTTTATTGTAAAGTCCAAATTCTTCTTGAATTGTTTTATAATTTTAAATATATAAAAAATGATAAAGATTGATGAAAAACAATATATTCTAAATATATATTTTATAAAAAAAACTTATATAGCTAATTATATGAACATTTTATATATAAAATATTTTTAATCTCACGTCATAAATAATACATAATGACAAATCTGCAACTCATCAAAGACAAAGAACATAGAGAAAGAGAGGACAAAAGACACATTCTTCGAAGATGAAAATAGATATTATTTTTTTCTTTTATACAAAAACATATTTTTCTCGATATATATATATATATATATATATATATATATATATATATATATATATATATATATATATCGAAGTAAGAATGGAAACGTAACAGAAAAAATTAAAGAAAGAAAGTAATAACCCTATGAAACGTTGTGGTTGAAGGTGATATGTTTGTTATGGAGTTGATTATTTTGACAGTCCCCCTCAAGCTGGGAGTATATGTCAAGAATTCCCAGCTTGGACATAAGATTATTAAAAGTAGCAGGGGGAAGAGGTTTTGTGAAAATGTCAGTTTGTTGGTGATGAGTGTTGATGTGAAGAATTTTAATTAGATCTTGTTTTATCTTCTCTCTAATCAAGTGACAATCGATTTTGATGTGTTTGATTCGTTCATGAAAGACTTGATTAGATGCAATTTGAATTGCAGATTGGTTGTCACAATACAAAAGAGAAGGTTGTTGATGTTGAATTTTGAGATCTTGCATAAGGTGATGAAGCCACTGTATTTCACATGTTGTGGAGGCAATAGCACGGTATTTTGCCTCTGAAGAACTTCTGGAAACTGTTTGTTGTTTCTTAGATTTCCAACAAATTGGAGAATTTCCAAGATAGATGATGTAGTCAGTGATGGATCGGCGAGTATCAGGACAACTAGCTCAATCAGAATCACAAAAAGCTTTGAGTGTGGAGTTGCTAGTAGAATCAAAGAAAATACCTTGTCCAGGGTGCTGTTTGAGATATATGAGAATTCTCATAGAAGCCCGATGATGAAGATTTGTAGGTGCAGCAATGAATTGACTTAAATAATGGACAGCAAAGACAATATCTGGTCTGGTGTGTGTTAGATAAATTAACCTGCCAATAAGCCTGCGAAAGGGAGTTGGATCATGGAGGGGTTCTCCTATTTCTGTAGTCTTGTGTCTGGAAAAATTCATAGGCATAGAGATTGGAGCAGAATCAAGCATTCCAACTTCTTTCAGGATATCGAGAGTGTACTTACGTTGGCAAAAATGTATACCTTTACTGCTCCTTGCAATTTCAAAACCAAGAAAATATGTCAAATTGCCTAGATTTTTAATTTTGAAAGCATGATCAAGAAGAGTAGTAACTGTATTTATTTCATTGATATCGTTCCCAGTTAAAATAATATCATCTACATATATGAGTAAAGCCGTAATGTAGGAATCATTAATTATAAGATACAAAGAATGATCTGCAAAAGATTGTTTATAATTGTGAGAGCTCAAGAAATCAGAAAGCTTAGAATACCACTGTCAACTAGCTTGCTTAAGGCCATACAAAGATTTATGAAGGTGACAAACATGACTCTTATCAGGATAATTAAAACCTGGAGGTAATTGCATATAAACTTCTTCATCTAAATTTTCATGCAACAAAGCATTGTTTACATCTAATTGTTTTAAATGTCAATTGTGCATAGATACTAAGGATAGAAACAACCTGATAGTTGTGATTTTTGCTACTGGTGAAAAGGTTT